CCCCGGAGAGATGCTGCCAAACAGTGCAGACTACACTGAGCTGGATCCGCTGCTGGTCTGATATGGTAGCAGGCAGCTTTCTCTGTTCCTCCGGTGTTACATCCAAGTCATTGCAGGAAATTCAGATGACACACATTTCTCCTGGGAAGAGCAGAAGCGTAGGAGAGAAGCAATGGGAGGCTGCAATTCTGACAGTCCCTTCAAAGCTAGAATCAAGTCTTAATGAATTACACAGAAATACAGGTGAGCGTGTGCTTCCGAGACCGTGGGTAATTCTTGAAGGCAAACCTTTCCAGGTATAAAAATGCAGCACGCCTCTGATTTTAACAACTACGGTATGTCTACAGCTGTCAGAAATTTGGGGAACACTCTTCTAAGTTTAACGGCTCTGCTTGGAGACATGAGCTGTCTCCGCCGAGGTGTGTGGTGTTTTCAGTTGGCTTTGCCAGATCTTGACATTGACAGCTCATCCCGCTGATGGCTTGTTTAGACATACAAGTTGTTGCCTGATTCTAGTTAACTTTTCTTATGGCACGGGTTAATCACGTTCTGCCTAAAGGCAGCACCTTAGTCTAAAACACTAATAATAGGCAAGTACACTGAGAAATATGGAAGTGTGGTTTGGCCCTCGTGGTTTGGTTGCGACAAGGCACCCTCAGAGATTCATAGTGCAAAGCTGCGCATAATTACAATGGCTGCATTTGACCATCTCAATAGACTATCACTTCAGGAACAATCCTACCCTCCCTCCATGTTGGTGAAGCCACAAGGAAGATGGATATTAATGATGGATTGTTTAAACAAGCCAGCTTCATAAAGGATGGTTTGAAATTGGCTTGTTTGAAACAAACCATAGCTAAGATTGGATCGCATGGCAAGCTGTGGTTAATTAGAAGTGAGAGTTGAACACTTCTGAGCTCCTCCTTGTGGTCACACTTGGAGGAAGATGAAAAGGGAGTGCATGAAGGCTAGACTTTTCTGCATAAGCCATGGTTTATTGTGATGTGATTTGTTGTAACATACAAATGCAATCATTCATTGACTGAATCCAAAACAGACAAGGATATATTATTGTAAAGTTGCCCTTGGGAAAAGATATATCAATACTTACACTAGTGCTGAGAAATTACAAACAAGTACAGTTTGTAAATTAAATTGTGCATAATAGCTTCCCAATTTCCTTTTCCTTTTTTTCCTTTTTTAACTGGTTCAAGTTCAAGTTTGATTCTAAATATGTATATAAATATATAAATATATAAAAATATAATTTTTATGTGTAACTAAAAGCTGTATTTTCCATTACTGTGGTTCCTTGTATTTTTGTCCAGGTGCCTCCTTTTTTTAGACTATTACCTTCCCACTCACCCCACACCCCCTGGCTGTATTTGTGGAATAAAAATGCTTCCAATGATTTGAAATGTGAAATTTTCTGATTTGCCAACACTGTATTATTATAATAAAGCGATACATGCTGTCAGTAGGGGTTGCTTTCATTTCTGCAAAACCTAAGTGAGGAGGAGTGGATGGGATGGGAGAAAATGGCAGTGGAGCATTTATGGAAGCCTCCGTGGCAGGTGGGCCATGACTGTCTTGGTCCAGTGCAGGCTTGCACTCTTTATAAAGGCACTGGCTTCCCAGTTCACTCCCCTCGCAGAGCTACAGTTCCCATTGCTGCTGCTGTTCTTGTTAAGTCGTGTCCGACTCTTCATGACCCCATGGACCAGAACACGCCAGGCACTCCTGTCTTCCACTGCCTCCTGCAGTTTGGTCAAGCTCATGCTGGTAGCTTCGAAAACACTGTCCAACCATCTCGTCCTCTGTCGTCCCCTTCTCCTTGTGCCCTCCATCTTTCCCAACATCAGGGTCTTTTCCAGGGAGTCTTCTCTTCTCATGAGGTGGCCAAAGTATTGGAGCCTCAGCTTCAGGATCTGTCCTTCCAGTGAGCACTCAGGGCTGATTTCCTTAAGAATGGAGAGGTTTGATCTTCTTGCAGTCCATGGGACTCTCAAGTGTCTCCTCCAGCACCATAATTCAAAAGCATCAATTCTTTGGTGATCAGCCTTCTTTATGGTCCAGCTTTCACTTTCATACATCACTACTGGGGAAACCTTAGCTTTAACTATACGGGCCTTTGTTGGCAAGGTGATGTCTCTGCTTTTTAAGATGCTGTCTAGGTTTGTCATTGCCTTTCTCCCAAGAAGCAGGCGTCTTTTAATTTCATGACTGCTGTCGCCATCTGCAGTGATCATGGAACCCAAGAAAGTAAAATCTCTCACTGCCTCCATTTCTTCCCCTTCTATTTGCCAGGAGGTGATGGGACCAGTGGCCATTACCCTTAATAAACTACAGTTCCCAGGATTCTTTGGGAGAAGCTGCGTGCCTTAAATGTGCAGTGTGTACACAGCCAGAGATTAAGGAATCTGACAATCGCATCTTGAAAAATGTAAGATCGTTTCCCCCAAAGAATCCTGGGAACTGTAGTTCTGTGAGCACCAAAACCCTTAAGCCTGTGCAATGAGGAACTGATATTCAGAACATGTACATGCCAGGTAAGGACTCTAGCTCTGTCATGCGTAACATGCAAACCTGGAACCAACAGCTGGCATCCCAGGGCATCTGCCTGGTTTCCAGCAAAGCCCAGCAGTGCTGATACCTGCCTTGGGCCCTTTTCACTGAGTAGCTGGCTTTATGAGCACCCATTTTAATTTCCTCAAGTGCTCTGTATTAATATTAGTCAGGCAATCCCAAGCATTGCTTTTCTCTGCAAGGAGGAAAAAACAAAACAGGGTCTTCATGCCTTTTCTTTTTCCCCAGCAGATAGGAAAGCAGCCCCATCTGAGGCCACTGCTCAGATCCATGCAAGTCCATGTGGTTGCATTTGTTTTTGTTTTAATAAAGCCTTTAATATCATCTAACACGGTCACTAGCGTTTAAAATAAATCTTAAAAGAATTGCACACATTGAGGTAGGTTTCCACCAAACGTTCCAGGCAGCTGAGGATTTGACTCTTAAATAACATACTCTGATTAGTACTTAAAGTCAATCTTTGAAGCATTTTGTTTTCTTAGCATGAAATAGATTTTGAATCTTTTAAAAAGATGCCTACTCAGAGTAATTTCTTAGAACAACGGCACTGAAAATGCAAAAGGGCAATAGGTTTGAATTAGTATCGATTCTGTTATTACTTCTAATCCATTTGAGACAGTAGCAAAATCAGTTCTTTGTTTCTGCTACAGTTACTCTGAATGAAATGGCCATCAACGTTGCAAGTGCGGGAAAGTTTTCTTGAATCCTATTATCGTCAGTAACTGGCGTTTAGGAGACCAAATTGTGCAGTTGAAAAAAAGAAGAAGGGAGATGCAAAGAAGTTTTCTTGTCATTCTGAATCTTATTCCATTGGGTGCTGATATTCCCTTGGCAGCCCTTTGTGATATTCCTTAGTAAGGCACGCAGGCACACACACACCTGAGCCTCCGAGAGCGAACACTTTCGCATTCTCAGCAGTCCTCAGCTCCCTGAGCGCCTCTGACATTTCAGCCTCTAAAAGTAAGATCAGCTTTAATGGTAAATTTAGATGTACATGATAACTATTGTTCTGCTTTCCTTGGACCACATCAGTGAGGCCGGAAGGCGAGTCTTGCCATCTCGGCAGCCCAGGACCTCCAACACACTGCCCGGGCTTGTGCCCCAGAGAGGTCACTTAGGTGCTGTTACAGTGGTTTAACTTCACCCCCGGAGGTGCCCAGATGGATGCCAACAAGAAGATTACTATATTTTAAATGTGCTTTTAAGGTTCTTTCAGCAGCTTTATGAGATTTTATACCTCGTTCTTATTAATGAGGTGTTTACCTTCCTGAGTCTCTGGTTGTGTACACACCACACATTTAAAGCACACAGCTTCCCCTTAAGAATCCTGAGGACTGTAGTTTCTTAAGGGTGCTGAGAACTGTAGCTCTGTGAGGGGTAAGCTACAGTTCCAAGGATCCTTTGGGGGAAGCTGTGTGTTTAAAAATATATGGTGTGCATGCAAAGTAGACAAACTTGATGAGTGTGATCTTTAGACTCCAAGCAGGGGAGTTGTTAGGGGGTGGAGCAGGCAGCCAGGGCCTCAGACTTTCTGAACTGAGCTCCATAACCCTGCCCTTTAAAAAAAGCCTTTTCTTTCTTTTTCTTTTTTAAAGGCCATACAGGGTGACTGGGCCTACTGCAAAATACTTCTGAGATTCTAGCCATTCACCATATAAATCAACAGGTTCAATTTTTATGTGTGTTTGTGCCTCATGTCCTTTCAAGCACCTAGCAACACTCCAGACTCCAGCTGAGCTCCCTGATTTGTTGCGATGTGTTTCTTACGAATTGCATTATATTTCAATGGGTCCTCTCCCCCATTTGGTTTGTTGAAAACCACCCTGTGGCTTGGGCAAAGGACGGTACTGTATATAAATCATCTGAATCAAATAAGTAAATATCCACTGAAAATGTGTGCTTTTTCAAAACTGAGGCCACGTAGCCCCTCTGCGAGGCTCCATTGCGTTTCCTTAAATGATACCACCTAAGGCTGTCCCTATTTATAACCTATCTGCTGGGCTTTTTATTTGTAGCTGCATCTTGGCTAAAATAGGTAAGCACTGTTTTATATTGCAGAGAGCTGCCTTTTAGAATGCATTAGGCAAATAGGGCAGTGATCAGTCACTGTCTAGCCTCCATAGCTTTGGAAGAGGATGTGCTCCGTCAGGGATAACCAACGTGATGCCCTTCAGATATTACTGGGCACCAACACCCATCAACTCTGGCAGCTGGCCATGCTGATGTCCAGGGACATCTGGAGGGCACCATGTTGGCTATCCCTGTCCGACATGAAATCCCTGATCTGAGACCTCAACAGAAGAACAGCAAGTTCTCTATCCGCTGAGTATGGGCCTTGTGATTTGAGCTGTTAGGCTTGCAGGAAATCCTAAATAAGCCACCCAGACTGAAAAGCGTAACGGATGTAAACCAGAACTACTTTATTTTAGGTAACATGTTATGGTGATGCTTTCATATCGGTGCTGAAAATATGAGCTTTAATAAATATTTCGTATTATGCCCATATTATGGTTCCTAGTATATGTGTGTAAGTTAAACTTCGTTGCTTGTTTTGACATATTTGCTCATCTCAGCGTCTGCAATTTTGACAAAATTCTGGAAAGTTTGTTGCTCAGGAACCGTTGCAGGTCTGACGGAGACGCACTTGAAGACTTTGCGTTTTGTGTCATAGTTTCCCATGCATCTGTGTACTCGACCTCTGATTAACCTTGGCAGCTCCCGGTCCTGTTATGCAAGAAGAATAAGAGGTAAGACCTCCCATCCCTTAGCATGAAATACTAAGCATGGACAGAGGGAGCCAACATGGGGCCCTCCAGTTGCTTGTGGACTCCATTCCCCATCGGTGCAAACAGCCAGCATGGCTAGTGGTCAGGAATGATGGGAGCTGGAGCCCAGTGACATCTGGGGGGCCACACATTGGCTATCCTTCCTTTAAAGCAACAGTAACATTGGAATTCTCCTTTTTGTTGTAGTTAAACAATAGCTTCATGCTTCTTTCCCACAATCTAACTCGTATCAACAAAGTTGTTTCAATTTTTATTATTATTTAAAAAATGGTTTATGGAGAATTACAGTTGCAATGGTAAGGCTGGTAAATGTCAAGGTAAGGTGTTTGTTTTATTTAACAGGATTTATATATTGCCTGATCATCCGTAACCTCTAAGTGGTTTACATAGGTGTTAAATGTTCTGCTGTCAAAATAAACTGGAATAATCTACAGAAATAATATTTGTTTTGAAAATATTTTTATATGCTACTTTGTATATCATGAAATACATATTCCATGAGTATGCATTTGACATGTGTAATGACTTGTGAAAGAAAAACAGGGTGAACACTCGGGGAACCTGTGAAGCTCCCTGATTGATCACCCTGCTGGGCATGGCCTCAATCCCTCTACTTGTATCAATGGTGCACAGGTGTTTATTGCAAAAGAAGTGGTGGCTTCAGCAGCACATGTAGTACTCACTTGAATAAACATGTGAAACACTTACAATCTCATAGAATACACATGGCATGCTCTCCTTCCCGTCTCTTAACAGGAAAGTCTTGGCTCCGTACTGCCCAGGGGTGACTGCAGAATCCAGGACGCCTAAATATATAGAGCAGGATTTACACTAACAATTGTATCCCATGGTGTCCTAAGATAACATAAACGGCTTTTTCTAAAGGTCTGTTTGGTTGATTTTGTACAAAGATGGAAGTGGGATGACAATCTATTCTTCTAGGGTACTACAATTTGAATTCTGTGGGTTAGCTCAGGCTGTGTGGCATCCACAGTTCCGTCCTCCAACACTTTGCTGCTGTTCTCTGTACCCACCCATCCCAGCATCTGCCACTTGAGGCAGCTTCCTCACTCTGTCTAATGTTAGAGCCGGCCCTATGAGTGAAGCTCAGGTAATGTGCCATAGAATTGGAGAGCTGGAAGGCTGTATGCTTTCACACAGGATCTAGACATGATTCTCAGGTCTGAGGTAGACCTGTGCAAAGTGCCCTCTTGTTGAGTTTGCTGGCAGCAGTGACAGGGAGTAGAGGGCACTTGCAGTGCCCCAAGCAGCACTGGGCAGTTGGATCTAGCCAGTGGCGTAGCGTGGGTTGTCAGCACCCGGGGCAAGGCAAGTAATTTGCGCCCCCTAACCCGTGGATTTGCGCCCCCTAACCCGTGGATTTGCCCTAACCCCAGATGTTGCGCCCAGTGCGGCCGGCCCCCCCTGACCCCCCACACTATGCCATTGGATCTAGCCATTGTTTACACTTGCCCCAAAGCAGTGTTCCTCTGAGCCAGGGGTGGGGAACCTCCTAGGCCAGACCCCTTCTCCCCAGACCATACCCTTCACCAGCCCTGCCTCGCACCCTCCTTGGGTATTCTTGCCCAGCTGGAAATGTGTCCTCTGATAATGCCTCTTTACTCGCCTGGATGCTGACGCTGATGATTTTATTATTTATACCCCACCCTTCTAGCTGGGTTGCCCCAGACACTCTGGGTAGCTGGGAGGAGGCGCTGTCTGAGTATGCGCTGATATTAGCCTACAGTATCGAGGTAAAATTTACAACTGTTGCTCTGCCCACTTTTGCCTCTGACCCTGTCTACCACTGGCATGTGGCCCCTGGAAGCTTACCCAGAAGGGAATGAGAGGCCCTCGGGAGTTAGAAAGTTTCCCACCCCTGCTCTGAGGCATTGCTGCAAAGTAAAACAATGCCTTGGCCCAGCTCCTGGGTCTGCTGGGAGCACCAAGCTGAGATAAAAATGCAAAGCATGTTGGCAGCAAGATAAGTGTCAGCAACGTGCCTTGCTTAGGGTGCTGGGTCCCAGGCAGCTGATGCTGTTGTCTGAAATATATATTTAATTGTCCGTGCTTGGTATCGTGGCACCAGCATTCTGTGTAGAAAAAAAACAATACCCTGTTGTACTTACCCAAGACCTCAAATAACAGTGGCACTTTATTCGTATACTGACTCCAGTGTTTCATGCTTTCAATGACGACAGATATAATTCTGAGAGAATTGTCTTTTTCCTGCAGTTTTGCTTGAAACGCCGCTGGCCCTTTCTTGCACACAGAAGAGGCAAACAAAAAGAGAACTTGAGGCAATTAAAGACCTTTGCACAGTGGTGAGTTCCTGCTCCAATACTTGGAATTATATATTTTTAAATGTTTTTCTGTCATATGCAACTTTGTTTTTGAGATCCAGTGGGTGCGGGGAGTGAGAAAGCAAAATGGACTTCATGTTTCTACCCTGAATGGATGAGCAAAGCAATTTTTGAGGTACAGTAAGCCTGCAACGCATCCATTCTAAAGGAAATCAGCCCTGAGTGCTCACTGGAAGGACACATCGTGAAGCTGAGGCTCCAGTACTTTGGCCACCTCATGAGAAGAGAAGACTCCCTAGAGAAGACACCGATGCTGGGAAAGATGGAGGGCACAAGGAGAAGGGGGAGACAGAGGACGAGATGGCTGGATAGTGTTTTCGAGGTTACCAGCATGAGTTTGACCAAACTGCGGGAGGTAGTGGAGGACAGAGGTGCCTGGCGTGCTCTGGTCCATGGGGTCACGAAGAGTCGGACACGACTAAACGACTAAACAACAACAAAGCCTGCAACTTATGATCACAAACTTACACGGGGTGATCAATAAATAAATAAATTGGGAAAATGAGGAAAATCAAAATATGAGTAGAAAAAATGTCAGAAGGAGTTGGGAGAGCAGGAAATGACAATCGGCAATCCCATCAGCCATTGCACTCAGCCTGGGAGAGTGTTTGGCAGTTGTCACAGCTGGAGAGTAAGATAGGGCCAAGCGAAAGCACAGAGAGCAAGTGGAACTGGCCTGTGAGCAAGGGGAAGGTAGTCTGAGCTGGTAAGTGCTGGGTTTTTTTATGTTTGGTTTTTTACAGGTTGCTTAAGGGGCCTTCCTGGCTTTATGCATTTTTTTCATTTGCACACAGTTCCCAGGAACCGAACTCTTGCATAAGTTGTGGGCTTACTGTACTCATTCCAGGGCAATTTCAAGGACTAGTGTGTGGCCACTAGACCTCTTAGTGAGAAATGATCTGAACAAATCACTCCTGCACAAGATGAACAACTCATATGCCCCCCAAAGACCTGGTTTGGTAGAGAAATTTGTCCAGCATGTAATGGTCAGCTGTACTATGAACTGAGCACCATTTTCCTCCATCAGTTCTTTCTTTAGCTCAGAAAGCTGAAACAAGATGCTGTGCCTGCATGGTTTTCATTCAGCCATGCTCAAAGTCAGCCGCATGCTCACAGTTTGAACATGTTCAGAAGCTCTTGAATGTTTTTCCCCACCCCCTTATTCTTAGACTGGATCTAGACACATCAAAGAAGCGTTTAAGTTAAATGCGTTGTAAATTTACACAGGGAAAAACAGGACTCCACAGCACCATCTGGTGGAACAGTGTTATATCACATATACAACACATATAAATCACTTTTTCTTTACCAATCTAGCTGAGTCCTTAGAAGAACTTTCATTGAGTTCTGTGAAACTGCATGGCAGAAAAAGTTAGCTGCTTTATTCAGCAGGTGTTCTTTGATGTTAAGCATCTTGTCTTAACTCTTGGTGATTGATCTGAGTTATGAGACCAGATCACTTAACCCAGCAGCACTGGGTGGATGGGTGTAACTCTGTTTGGGTTAATTTTCTTGGTAGCTCCTTGCAAAATGTTTTATGTGGTTGTCTCATACCCAAATCTAAAACCCACTTTTAAAAAGGTATACAATATGCTAAAAAGTGGGTGGGGTGGGTGGAAACAGGTAATTCAGCTGAGGAAGCAATTTGATTTTATTGGATGATGTAAAATAATTTACAAGTCAACCACTGTCTTAAGTTGCAGATTACTTAAGATTAGAGGTCCCATCCAACAAAGTTTTACTCGGTGTGGAGCCATTGAAATGAATGGGCCAATGTTAGTCATGCTCATTACTTTTCTGTGGGCCTCCTCTGAGTAGGACTAGCATTGGAGACAGCCCTAGGTTTTGTGGGAAGTGGAACACACAAACCTTTTTTTAAAAAAATACATGTGTATTATAATGTTACCTGAACGATTTTGACATCTTGAGCACAATCAGCTTTTTTCTCGTTAACTTTTTGTTGTAAAGGGCTGGGTTTAAATGTATACGGTGTACTCTGACCCTGTGGGCCCCTCGGCCCTGTGTTCTTTCCAGCTGGCCATTGGGCTGTGGCTGGATAGCTTTGTTCTGCTCCTCTTGCCTTGCTACCATGTGAATAGCCAGCTGATTTCTGTTGCTTTGATCCAGTTCCCATCAAACACTCTGGACTCTTGTCAAGCTGTGAACCCTTCCTGTTGTCTGTTCCACTGCCCAAAGCTGGGAAGTTGTTTCTTTTCCAAGTGTTGTTTTTCTCCTCTAGTCTGCAGTGAAAATAGTTGATATGGCTTGAATATATCAAAATATGTATACAAGCATTTAGAAACCCAACAGCATTTTGGAATCCTTTCCTCTAATTCCTCCCAGAAATACCTAGAACAGGGAGAGCCCATGTGGGGTCTTCCAGATGTTACTAGACTCCAGCTCCCATCAACCCTGACCGTTGGCCATACTTAATCTTTTCCCATATATTTGCATGGTAGTAGAGCCAGCGTGGTGTAGTGGTTAAGAGCGGTGGACTCGTAATCTGGTGAACTGGGTTCGCTTCCCCGCTCCTCCACATGCAGCTGCTGGGTGACCTTGGGCTAGTCCAGGGGTAGGCAACCTAAGGCCCGTGGGCTGGATGCGGCCCAATCGCCGCCTCAGTCCGGCCCACGGACGGTCCGGGAATCAGCGTGTTTTTACATGAGTAGATTGTGTCCTTTTATTTAAAATGCATCTCTGGGTTATTTGTGGGGCCTGCCTGGTGTTTTTACATGAGTAGAATGTGTGCTTTTATTTAAAATGCATCTCCGGGTTATTTGTGGGGCATAGGAATTCATTCATTCCCCCCCTCAAAAAAAAAAATAGTCCGGCCCACCACATGGTCTGAGGGACGGTGGACTGGCCCATGGCTGAAAAAGGTTGCTGACCCCTGGGCTAGTCAGACTTCTGTGAAGTCTCTCAGCCTCACTCACCTCACAGAGTGTTTGTTGTGGGGGGAGGAAGGGAAAGGAGATTGTTAGCCACTTTGAGACTCCTTAAGGGGAGTGAAAGGAGGGATATCAAGTCCAAACTCTTTTTCTTCTTCTGTTGCAACCTACATTGGATCAGGCTGCAACCCATCAGTGGGTTCCAACCCACCAATTGAAGACTAGTGATCTAGTCTAACCCCCTGCATGTTGTTGCACCTTAAATTTTTACAGAATCCCTCCCCACCCATCTTGCATTTCTAGTTCATGTCCAAAGGGCAGAACTTGAAGCATAGGCAGAGTGAATTGTTTCATCAGCACAAAAAGGTTTAACTCCAAAATCCACCCGCAGGGATCCCAATGAAGCAAAGTTTCATGTCAAATGACATTATGACCTCAGCTGGAAGCAGTTGTACGCTTTGGGGGATGCAACCAACCTCCAGTTGTTGAAGTTCTTTCCTGCTTGTGATACAGCTGATGTTGGTGCGTTTGGGTGTCTTAACACTGAAGGTGGAACAGGAAGCTCTGCTGGGCTTTAAGGACATAATTTTAGAGCTTACAATGCATGATGAAGAGACAGGTGCTTGTAAAAATCATATGTGTAATCATGCAGTATCCGTTTCCATAATTTTAAAATAAATATAATTACAGGAATATAACTGTATAAAATATACTTGCAGTGAGGAGGATTAATATATTTAAGATGTGTTGCTTTTTTCCATACGTACATTGTTTTCTGTAATCGAGTTGGTTCTGGCTTTGCAGTTTCCCATTCAAAATCTTAAAAAGTCAAAGGGCACAGTTAATTGAAATAAAGTTCATGATATTGGTACTATGTTGTTTGTGATCTTGAAAAAATATATACATGCGAATTGCATTTGCACTCCGCATAATCACAGTGTTGTGGATTCCACCACACGCCCACCCTGAACCAGTAGTGCTTCAAGTTCCAGTTCTCCCAACACTGAAGATAATTGCACTTTCATCTTTCACAGTAATCTCCATGTGTGCCTGGAATCCCATGAAACTTTGAACTGTGACAATAACTGTCCAAAATAAGAGCTCTCAGGTGCCCTTCTAACAGTGAAAGTTACTTCAGGTTAGGGATAGACTGTCATTTTTTAATAGATTTGTATGTTTATGTTCTTAATTATTTATTGTTAGCTGTCTCAGAAATGTGGCTGAAGGAGGTTCGAGCCTGCTCAGTGGGAAAGGAATGCTGGGTGTCAGGCGGAGGGGTGGCAGGAATGGAAAACCAGGAAGACAGAATAAAGAATGAAACGGAGTATAGTGGTACCTCGGGTTACATACGCTTCAGGTTACAGACTCCTCTAACCCAGAAAGAGTGCTTCAGGTTAAGAACTTTGCTTCAGGATGAGAACAGAAATTGTGCTGCGGTGGCGCGGCGGCAGCAGGAGGCCCCATTAGCTAAAGTGGTCCTTCAGGTTAAGAACAGTTTCAGGTTAAGTACGGACCTCCGGAACGAATTAAGTACTTAACCCGAGGTACCACTGTATCCGAGAAAAGGGCTGCCTTTCTGGCCAGAAACCCTGAATAGGAGAACTTTACAATGCAACATTTTGTTGCAGGTCCCGCTTGGAAATAAATACTGGTAAGTAAAATAAATAACAAGCACAAGGGGAGGCATCCCCCCCCCCATGGATTCTTTCACAGCATTCCTCTTGATGCTGACAGCCCTGCAGACATGTGGGCTGGGTTGATCACATGGGTACTTTCCCTACAGCACTCCTGTAACATTTAAAGGGCACCAGTGATATAAGTCCTGGCTGGATCAGATGTCAGGGCCTATCTATTTATTTCAACATGCTGCCTCCATCAATGGCCATTCAGAAATCCCCGGAGGCTCTGAAGAAGGACATGAAGCCAACAATCATCTCCTGCTTTGTTTCCGCCCAGCATCTGGAAATTGGAGGTACATTGACTGAACATGGCTAATAGCTGCAGCCAAACTTGTGCTCTCTTAATATAATTGTTTATAAGCCGTTGTCGGTATAATCTATCGGTTTCCTATTTCTGCGTCAGTAGTTTACATGGTCCAAGTTGAATGCACTCCTTGAGAAAAGCTAGGTAAGCAATTATTTTACGGTTGCACTGTTGTACATTACCATTTTCCAAAGGCAGCATTTTGAAACCACAAGGCAATTGAGAGGTAGAAGTTTCTTCGCTAAGAAAGCTCCCCCTCCCCTTTGACCAGCATAAAGTAGGATTAACTGTTATTATTACAGTAATTAATCCTGGCAGAAATTCTGCACAGTAGCCTTTTCAAGCATATTAGAGATGACAGATATATCTTCTACAATAGTGCGCCCGAAATTCTCCTTTCCTGTAACATGGACCTATGATATGAACTGAAAGAAAAAAGGGCAGAGTTTCAAGAACTCCTATTTAAATGTCAGTGTTCCACATAATTAGTAAAGACAAGAAAGTAGTCCTGCAACCCACAGATATTTCAGTTGTATAATTGTGTAATATAGACACACACACACACACACACACACACACAATATTGTCCTCCACTTACCAGCTAGCATGGCAGAATAATCCACATTTTCAGCTGGTTTGCTGGTACATAGCTCATTTTTAAGTGGGTTTGAAGTGAGTGGTTGCCTGTTCCTTTTTTTCTGATTGAACAGTGGGACTGGAAAGTAGCCTAAAATGCGAAGTTACAACAACAACAACAACAACAACAACAACAATTTATTATTTATACCCTGCCCATCTGGCTGGGTTTCCCCAGCCACTCTGGGCGGCTTCCAACTGAATATTAAAAACAATACAGCATCAAACATTAAAAACTTCCCTAAAGAAGGGCTGCCTTCAGTTGTCTTTTAAAAGTAAAATAGTTGTTTATTGCCTTGACATCTGCTGGGAGGGCGTTCCACAGGGCAGGCGCCACCACTGAGAAGGCCCTTTGCCTGGTTCCCTGTAACCTTACTTCTCGCAGTGAGGGAACTGCCAGAAGGCCCTCGGCGCTGGATCTCAGTATATTATGTTATGATATTATTCTCATAACATTATTTGTATTGATTCTCACACACAAACACAAGCTAACAGTTTGCTCTGAGGCAGAGTTTGAATTATCCCCCACCTGCAAAGGCCACCTCCCGCACGCAGGAATGGCACAGAAGGCTGCAGATACTGTACTTCCAGTATTTCAAACACTCAATGGGGTTGCAGAGCAGGTCTAGTGAGGAGTGTGGCTTGAGGACAGAGGATATGGCCTGGAGAGAGTCCCCAGGGCCAGGTAGCGAGGTCTGGAGGGCCACATGCTTGCTGTACATCCTACCCTGGATCTCCAGTGCAATATTGATACCTGCAGTAGAGCGGTTTGAATTGTCAGTTAAAGTCCTCTTCATTTCTCCTTCCACAATACCTAGACACAAACACAAAAAGATAAATGACTGGGCACTCGTCTTTTCCCAGGGGTGATGTAAGCATTGCCTTTAAGAGAATTCTAGTGCATTATTCAAGCATAGTAGTTTATAACAAGATTGTATTAAATTTAAAAATAATATATAGATTGGGGGTCAGCAAACCTTTTCAGCAGACCTTGTCAGGGGGGCGGACTATATTTTGAAAAAAATATATGAATGAATTCCTATGCCCAACAAATAACCCAGAGATGCATTTTAAATAAAGGGGCACATTCTACTCATGTAAAAACACACTGATTCCCAGACCGTCCATGGGCTGGATTTAGAAGGCGATTGGGCCGGATCCGGCCCCCGGGCCTTAGTTTGCCTACCCATTATATAGATGCAAACATAATATCTGAAAGATACAGTAAGGCATGAAACAAGGTAACAAATTGCTGATGTTTTTACTGTAAAGAACGCTGGGTTCGGAAGATGTGGGGAAGTCCAGTTGGATTTGCAAAAATGATTTGAAAAGTTGAACTTTTTTTTTATCTTTTCTTTCTGCTTTTTTCTTTTTCTTTTGTTTTTTATGTCTACAATCTTGACTTTGTATGCGAAAATCCAATAAAAATTTATATTTAAATATATATATATATATAGATGCAAACACACAACAAGCAAAGTTCCCACCAGTATGCTGCATAGATAATGCTCTACTGATCAAACAGGTAACATCAGGATTCATTATAAACGTTTATTTGTTTGCTTATTATTTGCAAACTCCTCGGTAAGAAAAAAGATACATTTAATAAAAGCATATTTAAAATGTAAAAATATTTAGGGCACACAGTGCTCCATACACATAGACAGAAAAAGCTGATTTGGTATCCAGGGTGCATTGTCTGTTTGGGACATTGGCTCCATGATTGAATCGCTGTCATTTTAATTGTGCTTAATGTTTCTTTCATATGAGACTGCGTATCACCTTGAGGCTTTTCGCACAAGGTGACTGATAAATATAACAGGCAGATATTATGGGCTGAATCCAACCCACTGGGTTATTGGGTTGTTGTTTTTATTTTGATTATATATTTTGTGGTTTTATATTTTGATTTTCTTCCGTCAACCGCCCTGAGACCTCCGGGTCTAGGGCAGTATATAAATTCAATAACTAATAATAACTAAGTTTTCTTCATCGTAGACCCATTGAAATTAATGGATCTAAGTCTCGGTCATGAATTCCAATAGGTCTTAGGACAAACATTGGCTACAACCCTATGGTGACCATTTTTGTGCCTTTATTATTTTTTTAAATGCAACTGGAGAATATTTTTTTGAGGAAAATACCGAGGGACCCTTGGGCCAGTTACTGTCTCTCAGCCTAACCAACCTCACAGGGTTGTTGTGATAATAAAATGAGAGAACCACGTGCACTAATGTCCATTAAAAATAAAGAATAGCATTGCAAACCTAGCTAGAACAGAGTGACATGAGATTAAACTGTTACCTAGTTTAAGCAGAATAAAAATAATCCCGTCATTCACTTTGTGTATAAATACACATCCAAGCTTTCATAACTTCTGTGGCTGGCAAGGCTGTATATGGGAAAATAAAAGTTTAGGAGAAGAGCTATAAATCATGTCTTACAATGCAATTGAGAGGGTTTTTTGGGCGCAGGGGGAGGGGGGAAACAACCTGGAATTTCTAGTTTTTAACCAAGCTCAGTTTTGTTTTAACATGTTGGATTGCTTTCTCCCGTGTGTGTTTAAGTCACATTTTTGCATATGTGTACAACTCTCTAGCTGCAGGGGAAGGAGGGGGAATTAAAGGACTGACTAAATTACAAGAGCCTTATTTTTTAACAGAAACACACATTAAGGGAAAGAATAATGAGATTTTAAAAGGCGGGGGTGAGGACAGAATCAGAACTGGTGACCAGGCTGGCCGGAAAACAAAAATCATGAGGAAAAACTAGGCTTAAATGCAAACATAAAAAGGTCATCTGTTGCTGGCACCGTAAAGTGCCTCTATCTACAAGCACGAGGCTAATGGAGGAGGCAAGAAAGTGCCTCAACCCATTTGCTAGAGGTTGATGGGCTCCGTGCAAGAAAAATGGCGGTGGGTGGAGGGAAAAGCCTAAACGCAAACCTGACAGAGGAGAAAAAGGCAGGCAAAGTGCCTATATCTATCAGTGCAAAGCTGATGAGGGAGAATAGTGGAAGAGTGCCTAAATCTAGCTGAAAGGGGAAGGTAGTGAGAAAATAATTTGCCTACAATCCATTAAAATCAGGTTAATGAGGGGGATGAGGAGGAGGCAGGGAAGGGCCTAAATCCGTTAGGTAGCATGAGGTGGAAAAGGCGGGAAAACGCTTAAGCTTTGATGCCGACAGGGGTTACAAAAGGCAAGAAAGTGTGTGGGGGGGTGCTTAAATACATTTAGGGAAATGGTTACCTGAGGAAAAGGGAAGAAAAGGCAGGGAAAGTGCCTAAATTGCTTAGTTATGGAGTGCCAAAGCGTGAGGTGAAAAAGGCGGGAAAATGCCTGACTCCACTATCATGAGGTGAAAGTGAGGGTGGCACAAGGCTGACAAGAAAGAGAAAGACGGAAGTAGCACCTAAACCCACTATTTATTTATTTACAAGTATTTCTAAAGCACTCAGTATTTTTAAGAATTAGCACAAGTCGGGGGTGAGGGGGACGGGAATTCCTTCAGGCTTTCAGCATTTCTCCTTTCCTGTGAGATTCTTTGGGGGTGGGGAGCGAAAGGAGATAAATCTCTCTCATTCGGACTTTTAATTCCAGAGAGAAAAGAGCAGAAATGGGAAAAGGAGAGAGAGAGCAGGGAAAAAGAGGGGAAAGAGGGAGGAGAACTGCAAGTATTAAGTACTAAAAACATAAGGAGAAAAATGCAGAGTTTCTCCTTCCTCCTGTTTGTATAGTGATGTCAAGAGCTGCCACCCTCAGCCCCTGAGGAGAAAAGGTCATATAAAATATGTGCAGTTTATATAATTGGTATATTATCAGATTTTTTTTGTGGTTGTTTACCCCCCCCCCCGCCACTTGTCTTTCTCCTAGTTGCAGAGTAGCCAAGATGGTTGTCAACACAATTCTCTTTTTCATCTGCTGAAGGAATATGATTCCTCCTCCTTCCATTAGTAGCATTCTGGCCCCATATAACATATTATTATTATTATTATTATTATTATTATTATTATTATTATTAGTGCTGCCTTTCCTCCACCTCTTATTTTACCACACATCCCAGTTATGATGATGATCATAATGACAATTAAGTTTATTAACACACACCCCGCACACCTTGACCAGCAGGTTCCAGGGCGGGTTTCAACAGTTTAAAATTCAAAATTAAGAACAGTTAAAACAAATGACCATTGCAGGACCCCTGAAACGTTTACATTTACTGACACATTTACTAGAAAACTCTCAATTAATATGATGTTCCTTCCCCAGAAGTCCTTTTGATTTCTTCAAAATGGCCAAAACTAAGCTTTTTAAAAAAATAATAGTGTATATAATGCTTCAGGTATCCCCCCCCGCCCCGCCTCCTTTTCCATCTCGACTATAAATGAATTAAGACTGGTGTAACAGAGAATTTGCTGCCCCATGAACCCTTTATTATGCCAGATATTCAGGCAGCCCCCAGGTTCCTTAAGGAAACCTTTTTTTTTTTTTTTGCTTTTTATTCATTTATATTTCAAAAAGCATTTATAGGCTGCCTCCTCATACAAAACATCAGGGCCGTGCGCAATAACATTTACAGCATCGCATAGAACGCTATAAAAACAATCCAAAGGAATAATAGAAAAGGCCGGGCTTCTATTGTCTTGTGTCCTGTTGGGATAGTTTGAATATTCTTTGGACAAACTCCACCTGTGCTATGAGCGGAAAGGGAGTTTCTGCGGCATCTGCCCTGAACTGTGTTTGGAAATGCGCTGTGCATCTTCTGTTCGGATGGTTTCTCACCCTGCCGCATGCCGAACATCAAAACAATTAGCCTCAATTTTTCACACGGCTTTAGTAAGAAAGGGGTTTTAGACTCTCTCTTTCTGGCCTGTTAACAGAGGCTAGATGGTGGCATACTTATGGCCACCGCCATAGAGGCACTGCAGACCCCTCAAAACACTCTGTGCACGTTCCAAAAGCGCCGAGTTATTCCAGCTCTTTACAACTGTTGTGATTCACTGGCTCTGGCGGCTTGTTAATTAAGAGCCTTGGGGAAATGAGGGCAAAGGACAGTACAGATTGTACTTTGACATACAGTGTAACTGCTCCATCGCAGCTTAAGAAATCATCTACCATCACAGTTATTTCTCTAGGAAATTTGAGGGCAGGGTGCAGGGAAAGTCGAGGCAATATAGTTAAAAGAAACGGTGTCTGCCTGGATTAAGACACCGACAGCCTCAGTAAATATTAAGTCGGTAATGCGAAGCCGATGGTGTGAATAGATTGCTGGTGGTGTAAGAGGAGGTGTATTTTTGAATCCGTGGCTGAGCTGTCTAGTTTTATATCTTCTAACAGAATCAGCATAGGTGAGTGGTTTGTTTGTTTTTAATCACTGCTGTATAAATTCAAATAGTAGGGAAGCAAATCTTCCTGTGCATTCATCCCTCTACAAGCACTGAAGGTATGGCAATTATTTTTTGCATCTCTGTGGGACATGGCTTTGCAAGGAGAGGAGCTTTTTCAGCCTCCCAGCTGGGTAGGACCACCTGGGTTTTGCCAAGCTGAGCCTTCCTTGAGCTCAGTGTAAGTTGCACAGAACGTGACTGTGAGGCAAACTCCAGCAAAGACCCTTCATCAATAAGGGGACCACTTTCCATGGCTGCCAGCTTTCATCTGGAGCTAACTGCATCATGCTCATTTGGGTTACGGATGGATGGCTATGTCAATTTCAATTTCTTTCTGCTTCTCTCTTTTCCCAGTTTTATCAGTCGGCACATTTCCAGAACCTATGTTTCTCTTGCATAAGTCTGATAATTCTTTTTAATAAAAACAAAAACAAAAAACAACCTCATGAAAATTTGTCAGCATTTTAACATAACACATTTTTGTGTGCAGTTTCTCCTAAAATGCAATTATTTTTGCAAGCAATTTCCCCTAATACAATGTGTTTTAATGCTGTTTTAGTAATATATTCATTTTATGACTAATAATAATAATAATACCTTTATTGTCAATGTACAAGCTGTGTACAATGAAATTAACTTCTCTCTTATATATACATTTTTGTAACATTTTGTTAGTTTCTGGTTGGAGAACTGTTATGTAGAATTTTGATAAATGCAAATTTTGAATGCTTGCTCTGTTTCAGTACCTGCATTGTTTTGGGAAGTGTGAATTAAGTGGATTTGCATCAAAATGTGAACTGAACTGAATTTCTCACCATTATTTCCCTGCCAGTTGGTGTTGTTGTGTTTTGTTTTATACCATTGTTTTGTGCCCTTTATAGCTTGTTCAGGGTGCTGAGAGTTTTTAGGAGACCTCCTGTTCCCCTCAGGGATCTACAATTCCCAGAGTTCCCTGTGAAGAGGTATTGATTGTTGAATCATTCTGGGAATTGTAGTTCTAGGAGGGGACTAGGGGGTCTCCTAACATCTCTCAGCATCCTTAAAAAACTACAGCTCCCAAAGTTTTGGGGAGGGAGAAACCAATACTGTTCAAAGTGACATCAAACTACTTTAAATATATGGTGCCAGGCAACCCCCTTTTTCATTTCCTTGGCTTTCTGGCAGTTTTGCTCCCCTTAAAATAGCTTCGATCTGTGTTTTACACTTATTGTGTTTTTTTAACATGTCTCTGGAAATTGGATATTATTGATATTTGGAAGGCAATCTGAGCAGAAGAGAGAGATTTCAGGATAATATAAATGTAAAAACTTGATAGCGGAAATAGCAAGTTATCCAGAGGAAAGCATGGTTGCTGCTTGTGATAGAGAGGAATGCTTAGCCTTCTTAGCAGCTTTTTATCCAAGGGCGTTTTTAGTATCTTTGGTATGTATATTGGCACACATTCCTTTAAACAAACAAACAAAAACACTTACAAGAGAAGAAACCTTCTGCCACCCTTAGAGCCTTACCATAGAACTCTTAAAGCTGATTCCAACATATTACTATCCAAATATAGTTGAAAGAAGGGGCCGGTCTTGGGAGGAGAGTTAGTTGGGGAACACCCATGTAGCAGAATAAGCATCTAAGACTTGTTAGGGAAATGTTTATTTTCCAAATAACATCAATTCCAGGCAGACCAGGGAGCTGTAGGAATCACAGCAATCTGAACCATTTTGTGTGGCTTTGTTCTGTGTCAATTTGTGTTGGTTTTTTGTCACTTGTTCTTATTCCTAGCCTTTCTGTTTTGGTTTGTTGTTACAGCTGTCATTAAAGCTGTTTCACAGAATGAATTCTTGTCCAGTTGTAGCAAGAGAGGGTCCTGTGAGAAGGGTCGCTATCTTTGGAGGAACACACGGCAATGAGTTGTCTGGGGTATTCCTGGTCAAGCACTGGCAGGATGATGGAACAGAGATTCAGCGACCGGGGCTGGAGGTACGGCCTTTTATCACCAATCCAAGAGCAGTGGAGAAATGTTGCCGATATATTGACTGCGACCTGAATCGGGTTTTTGATCCTAAAAGACTTGGGTAAGCCTAACCTCTGCCTTGTGTGTTTGAGTGTATAAACGATTAAACAACAACAAAATGTGCATGCATTTAAGACTGCAACGCTACATCTGCTTACTTGAGAGTAGGTAAAGGTAAAGGTACCCCTGACCGTTAGGTCCAGTCTCTGGGGTTGCACGCTCATCTCGCTCTATAGGCCAAGGGAGCCCGCGTTTGTCCACAGACAGCTTCCGGGTCATGTGGCCAGCATGACTAAGCCGCTTCTGGTGAACCAAAGCAGTGCACGGAAACACTGTTTACCTTCCTGCTGGAGTAGTACCTATTTATCTACTTGCACTTCGACGTGCTTTCGAACTGCTAGGTGGGCAGGAGCTGGGATCCAGCAATGGGAGCTCACCCCGCTGCAGGGATTCGAAATGCCGACCTTCTGATCGACAAGCCCTAGGCTCTGTGGTTTAGACCACAGCACCACTTGAGAGTAAGATCTACTAAATTCAGTGTGACTTACTTCTGAGCAGACATTTATAGGGTCGCACTGTTCTGTAATACTTGACCACAGGAGCAGCAGTCATCTATGCACAAACAGCTGTAACTCAAAGGGGGGAAATACATCCCTACTGCTTAGAGGGTCCCTTCTGGGGTAAGGCAAATGTTCCTCACGTGTTATCCAGTCGCAGGGTGAGGTTTCTCTCCCTATCCCGCTGGAGTCTTCCACATCCAGAGCAGCAGCACATGTAGAAATCCTGTTTTCATAAGTCCACAGGGTTGAAGCGGTTATGTCTGCAAGAAACATCCCTGAGGTTGGGTGAGAAGACTCCAGGCGGGCACTCAAGGGTTATTTGGCTGTGCATTTCTCAAGCAGCCATCCTGCCAGATGAATAATGCCTTTTTGAAACTTGAATTTTCCGAAACAGTGTGCTATGTGGCAGTTCACATGTGTGTATACCTGACATTCAAAGGAAAACAATCATTGCCCACTGCCTTCAAACACTCCTAAAGTCAATTTGAAATTAATCTTAGGCAGCCTTCATAAATGTATCACATTGAGATGGTGGAGTATACCAGCAAGCCATGTCCCCAATCTTAGGTACCCATGCCCCCAAATCCATGCAATCAGATCAATACATAAAATGGGCTCCTACTTGTAAGCAGCTGTATGTTCATAGGGACATGCACATGTTCTCGAACCCTGATTGCACAAGGTTTCTGTTTATGTGCAAGCCTGTACATGCGTAAGAACCCCTTCAGTTGAAAATGTGGTTGTTGGGGGTATGCCAGCATCAAAAGGGGTGTTTTGCCAGCATGGCTCAACCAACCACCTCCTGCAAGCATTTAGGGCTTGTGTGAAAGTGAACCAGTGAAAAAAGAAACCTTTGAATCCCTAGGGTACAATCACATTGCATAGATAGGGAACAACCAAATTAAGAATGATGTGCATTATTTAGCTTTTTCATCCTTTTAAAAATGCTAATTTCAGAGGAAGCTAAACTGCCAGCATAAAGGTTTAATGAGAATCAGTACCAGCATTGCTGTGTGTGTGTTAAATTAAAGTGCTGCTATTCATCTGAGCTCCCAGTGTCATTTTCCCCCATGTGTCCTGAAATGAACTTCCTGGGCAATCTAGCTTCATGGGACTGTTCAGAATGTCACTGCACACAGGCAGCCACAGCACATTGCCAAAGGTAAAAATACAACTCTGTTTAAATACAGATAGGGCAGCTCTCTGTTGTAGTGTGAAGAAGGATTACAAAATTCCAATAGCTGCCTATGTTCTTAAGCAATCACCAGTATTAGTCATTGCAGGCCATACGCTGCTGTCAGTAATGAAGGAGACAAACACACATGCAAATTGCTGATGGCCACCAATTCTGACATTAAAGAAACACATACAAATGGAAGAATAAGTATCCTGTGCCAGATAAATGAAGAGTTAATTATTTTTCTTTTTTTTTAATTGCAAAAGGAGCAAATGGCTAAGTGATTTTTAATTTGTGTGCACTTTTTATCCACAGCGAACAGCTTGCAGACAACACTCCGTACGAAGTGAGAAGGGCTCAAGAAATAAACTGCATATTTGGTCCAAAAGGTAGCCATGAAGCTTATGACCTTATCTTTGACCTGCACAACACAACAGCTAACATGGGCGGCACCATCATACTGGAAAACTCCAGGGATGATTTCACAATTCAGATGTGTCGCTATATAAAGGTAAAAAGTTCTAATCCCACATGAGTTAACTGTGCTGAATTCAGAGCATTATAGAACCAGCACCAAATTCCCAGAGATCATAGGGACATAGGAAGTTGCCTTATACTGAGTCATACCATTGGCCCATCTTGCTCAGTATTGTCTACACTGACTGGCAGTGGCTTTCATGGGTTTCAGGGAGCCCTATCTGGAGATGCTGGGCATTGAGCCAGGGACTTAGAATCATAGACTTGTAGAGTTGGAAAGGACCCCGAGTGTCAGCTAGTCCAACCCTCTGCAAGGCAGACACTCAACTACTGAGCTACAGCCCTCCCTCTAATATGGCATAGCGTGAAGATAGGGGGAGGGAACCTTAATATATTCCATGCCCTATAACTTGCATCTGCTTCAAGCACTGGAATCACAGCTATTGTCAGCCAGTCTGTGGCCAGCCAGTCCTTCTGTTTAATTCCTGAATTAGCTCTTCTACCTCATTCTAGGGCCAAGGGAGGGCCACAGGTGTATGTGGCTGAGCATTGCTAACTGACCAGAAAAAAAAGAATTCTAAAAAATATTTTATTTTGCTGTACAGTGGTACCTTGGGTTACATACACTTCTCGTTACAGATGCTTCAGGTTACAGACTCAGAAATAATACCTCAGGTTAAGAACTTTGCTTCAGGATGAGAACAGAAATTGTACTCTGGCAGCGCGGCAGCAGCAGGAGGCCCCATTAGCTAAAGTGGTGCTTCAGGTTAAGAACAGTTTCAGGTTAAGAACAGACCTCCGGAACGAATTAAGCACTTAACCTGAGGTACCACTGTATACTGCTGACTAAATTTTGCTGTTAATTGTTGCTTTTAATATTTGGTTGTAAATAGGGATGAGTGAATCTGTCAATTTCAGTTTCTAATTTTTCCACTCTTCAGTTTTCCATATCAGTTTGCATTTTTATTAAAGTCTGCATTGAAATTCGCCAGCATTTAGTGCACATTTCATCTATTTTAACATGTCAATGCCATAATCTTTTCCTTCACGTGCCACAGCTGGAAGCAGGAATGCTTCTGAATACCAGTTGCTGGAAGGAGAGAAGAGTGCTCTTGTGCTCAAATCCTTGTGCTCAAATGGTGGACTAGATGGACCACTGGACTGATCCAGCAGCCTTTTCTTATGTTCTTATGTGTGAACTGTGTAGCTCACTCTGGCACCAAAGAGCTCCAGGTTGTTGAGTTCAGCACCATTTGGAGAAGGCAGGGTGTGTCTCTCTGTGTGGTTTCTCTGTAGCAAATTCCTCTCCTCTCCCCAACACTCACAAGGGTTAACTTGACATCAGTAAGAACAAGTAACAATTAGTTTTAAAAAAAACACCATAAAGTCATTATGGATCTGGTTTAAGGTGATTTGATGAAGAGTTGAGCTCTGTGTTTTTTTAATTCACCACACATAAGACATTTAAATGTTACTTCCCCTGCAGGAGTGGCAGAGGAGAACACTGCAGGAACATTTGAGCAGTGAGCTCAATTGTACTGCTCATTTGCATTAAAACATTGCTTGTTTAAAACAACAGTTTAAAGTGACATGCAAACTGGGTCAGTATGTGAAGAATGTCATATAGCTAAGCTACAAATATCCTGGTTGTTGTTGTTGTTGTTTTTCCTGTAAGAAAACCTAAATCAGAGTTGAAAGGATGTGGGATGGGAAACTGCCCTAAAGGCAGCTTAATGCTTGGTCCTCTTGAGCACTGCTACATTAATTTTCTCCCATTGATAATTTAATGCTGGAATCATGTTCACTTATATTAGCACAAAACAGAATTCAGTGAAGCATACTTTGTGTGATCTAAGAGAAAGAGCACCAACAAACACTGCTTTGTACTTTTTCTAAAGATGGCCTACTTATTTTAAGACAGCTCAATATGAGACAACAGTCGAAGACAATGCATAAGCCAACTTTTGCACCAGTGGTCTTCTGTTAACTCAGCATTAATGTTTGGACAAGTACAATATTTAAACAAATATTTTCCACAGGATGCTTTGGCTCCAGAAGGCTGCCCTGTTTTCCTCATTGAGCATCCCAACCTGAAATATGCAACGACCCGGTCTATAGCAAAACATCCTGTTGGTAAATATGAACATTATAAGCTTTACCCAGTCCTCAGAGATGAAATATATGCAATTGTGTTCCCAGATAGGCTGGTACCTAAGTTATGATTCATTGAGTCATACAAGTTAGTTATTTTCAGCAACGCCCATCTGCTTTTGGCAACCACATCTGAGGGCCAAATTCAAAGTATCCACATCCACACCCTGCATTAAAGTACTCTTGTAGCACTTTAAAACTTGTAGCTTACCTAAAATAATTCCTGGGAGCTGTAGATTTCTAAGCATACTGATTTCATGTAGCTTCACAATTCTCAACACCCTGAGCAAACCACAGTTCCCAAGACCCTGCGTGGCTGTCAAAGTGGTATAAGAGTGCTTCAAGTGTAGGGTGCAGAGGTGACCAAATTTTTAGTGCCACACTTTAAGAAAGATATAAGACAATATTGGGATAAGTTTAGAGGAGGACAATGGATATGGTCAGGGGTATGCAAAATAAGCCCTGTGAAGTAGGGTGGAAAGAACTGGGTATGTTCTGCCTGGAGGATAGAATTTGGATTCTGACCTCTGTCCACCACTCCCAGTGTGGTAACAGCAGTCACAGCCATGGTTGCTTCTCTCCTGGGGAACAGACTCTGCATGGAGGTACGCTTGGCAAGCACCTGGGTCCCTAAACTGTGCAACTGCTTTCCCCATTTGGACAAACAAAAAATGTGTGCAATGCATGAAGGAAAATTTTAAATAACTGGGAATGTATACAGTAATTGAAACAAAAAATGTGGGGGGAAAGGGTATAATGCCAGTCGGATAGTGCTATAGAGGAAGGGGAAGCTGATATATCCTTCACTTTTTATGCAGGCATTGAAGTGGGTCCTCAGCCCCAAGGAGTTCTCAGGGCTGACATTTTGGACAAAATGCGGAGGATCATCAAGCATGGCCTTGACTTTGTGCAAATGTTCAATGCAGGTATAGCAGTTGTCAGTATTAAGCAAGCATCAAGTAGTTTGCTAATGTGCTGGTGGGAAATAGCAATCACAAGGGAATGCAACAGATTTTTGCAGTGTCCCTCCTAACAGGAGCGCTTCTGTTCAGGATGCCAGCCATGCCTTCTTCCAGCATATTCCACTCCATCCCACTTCCTTTTTTCTTTTTCCAAGTAATACTCAACATTATGTGACTAACCTGAATTGGGCTACTTGGTGATGTGGCGGTTGACCCTTGCAGTTTTGTAAAAATATGGCACTGTAGTTCTACATTCTTGGTGAAATGGTTCTCAGTGACACTTTCTTTGGCTCCAAGTCTTTCAACACTCACCACCTGAATTCACAGTGATGACTTAACAAGAGAATCTTCTTAAAGCTGTACTGAAGACTAAATCCCACACATCCTTTCCCATATACCTGGGCCTAAATAAATATATCCACAATTTTAAGCAGGCTTTTATTGTGTACCTACACAGCATCAATGCCACAATACTATACAGTACAAAATAATATTTCATTTGAAAAATTCCTTCACAGATACAATAATAGCAACTGACAATAGCTACTATTGTTATCTCTGAAGGTATGATCTGATGGCACCTGAGAAATATAATTACTAAACTTCATAAGATGCTGACAAAAGGAAGCATTTTACTAAATTCTATCATCTGCAGAATATATTTTATGCATTGTATATTGTGATTAAGGTCCCTGATTTTCGCTGTTCAGATAAAATTTAGATCCGACTTTCATGCATCACTGCATAACTGGGTCATCTTTCAGTAACCCAATCTTCTGAAGTGAGACGATCTATAGAAAAACATTTTCCTGTGACCAGATCTAATTATGATATTAACAAGATACAGATAGCTACCATCTTAATGACTTCAAACATTGTCAATAAAAAGATTCCTTAGATTCAGTTTCTTTCAAAAAAAAATACTAAGAGCTGTTTGACATAATACTTGGAGACGTTGCTCTTTTTTTCTCCCTAGGAAAAGAATTCCCTCGGTGTACTATTGAAGTTTACAAAATAATGGAGAAAGTAGATTATCCAAGAAAGAAAAATAATGAGATCATGGCTGTCATTCACCCTAACCTGCAGGTAAACACATGCCATTTCTCTTCAGATATATAGTCCGCTGCCCTGCCCTTGAACAACAGCAATGTCAGAATCTGGTGTACAAATTCCCCTTTGTTAACAGGAAAGTTACTAAAGGACCATGATTCACTTCCATATGGAATGAGTGTGTGACTGTCTTGAAACAGCTCCCATATGGCTGATTCTTGAGTCTCACATTCATTTCATGCACAAATCTTGCTCACTGGAAACAAACATGAGAGCCCGTGGGCCTTGCTAGGGCCTGCTCTGGATATAATCCTCATTGAAAGACAGCAAGGGCCTTGCAGGCTTTCTCCCTCCCCCCTACTCCCCCCCCCAAATTCCCTTATCCATTAGTTTTCCACTGTTAACTATAGTTTATGGTTGCCTGCTAGATGTAAATATATATCAGGGGTGGGGGAACACTTTTGGCCTGGCAGGTCAGATCTTTATCTGAACTTTAAGAGATTGCCAGGGTCACCCACCTGTCAGATGACTATCTGACATCATGATGACATCATGACCTGTGGGTAGGAAGAGCAGTCCACTTCACCAGTGCAGTCCCCCCACTGCCCCCCCATTGACAAAGCAGAACCAAGCAGAATTTAACCCCCTGCTCATCAGCTGATGAATGGAGACTTCAATCCTGCTCATGAGGAAGAGATTAGATGAGTATGCCAGTTCACTGGCAGGTGTAGCTAACATAGAATTAAGCTGGGTGGCATCAGCTGATGGACAGGTGAGCATGGTTTGGGGAAGTGGCCAAACAGGAAATACCCCTTGGCAGGCCAATATCAGCCTATGGGCAAGAGGTTTCTAACCCCAGTATAAAGGAAGGCTAACAAGATAGGCAGTAATTAAAAAAATGTGTTTTTATCTTCTTGTTTCCCCCCGTCCCACAAGGATCAAGACTGGCAGCCTCTCAACCCTGGTGACCCTATATTTTTAACTCTTGAAGGAAAGACAATCCCATACGAAGGAGACGTGGTAGTATATCCAGCCTTTGTGAATGAAGCTGCTTATTATGAAAAGCAACAAGCTTTTGTAAAAACTGAAATAGAAAAATTGAGTGCAGAAGGGATCAGAGCATGTGTCTCTTAGAACTGGAATAATTTTTCATTTAACTTTTTCAAAACTTAGGATGAAACCCAATTACAGATGCATTTGATCTTTCTAACTCAAGATGGCCAGAACTCATAGGCTGTAACTCAGACAGAGACTTTAATATTTAATGGTAAGGAATATTTTTTTAAGGAATAAGCACTTTGAAGGCAATATGATCAAGCAACATTCAGAAGCATTGTTAGTATGAATGTATTTTAGTATTTTTTTATAAATACTAAATGCTAAATATTTTTTTAAATTAATAGCACTTTTTAATAACAGAGAGATATGTTTTGTATTTAATGTGTTATGCCCCAAGAAGCTGAACATGGAGATATTTCATGGCCATTACTGAGGAAGAAGAAGAGGCAATGGACAAATTAAACCTGTAAAGATTATATTGTATTTTACACCAGTAAGGGAATCTCAAGTTCTGGAAGAGCTTCTGTTATGGGAGAAGTTTTGTGTTGGAAATCCTGGAAGCCAATACCACAGTTTGGGGGCAAGCACCCTTTGCTGAGAGAACCCCAACAGAGATTTAACATAGCAAAACATGCAAAAAAGGAAAGTGTGGAGATAAAGGCTGTAAAACATTTAAAATGTCATTTCTAGTGAATCCCAAAGTACATCACTTTTAATGGTTCTTTCCAAAGTATTCCACTTCTCTAGCACACAGGTCGACCACACGTTTAGTAAGCTATAAAATGGATTACTTACAAAACTCTTCAAATGCCAGATTCATGTGCTTTTCCATACAGCAGCCAGAAAAAGTTGCACAGGCAGTAAAACGTTGCTTAGTTACAAAATGGTAAAAGTTCCTAAACTATTGGTGTGGGAAAACATTAGTTTCAGACTTCATTCTTGTCTGAAACAAAATAGGCTGGTTAAAGCCATGTGGCTGGAAGGAGCAGCTCAGATCTCCTCGCACACCAAATTCACATGTAGACTGAATAGAACAAAAGGCTTGGTTTTCTAAGCTGAGGGGAAGTGGCTTAGGCTAAGCTTGCATACTAGTTATATGAGGCTGGTTTAGCCTACAAGATTCACCTCTTGAAATCCTGCCTGCCATGGTTAGTAGCAAAATGCACCTTATCAGAGAGACACTGGCTACTACATTAACATTAAGCAGCAGAGAAGCATGGAGAAATGGGCATGGCGGCTTCAGAGTAGCATTCTTAGTAGAGTCATATCTGAATATTATTTAGGGAGGTTAATCTGGAACTGGAGTTGGGAAAAGGTTTCCAGTGAGAGTGAGAGTGGACTTATGAGCAAAAACATTTGGGTCATGAGGATGATCTCCCCAGTGTGTGTGTGTGTTTAGATTTTTATCAGAGTGGTAGCCTCAGGGATATATAAATAAATTATTCCAATATTTTTCTGCTGTGGAGGAGGGGATACTTGTACTCTTGAGGGACAACTCAACCGAGGATCTCCTCTATCCATTGCAGAAAAGGTACTTATAGCGGTAAGTCCAACATTCTGTTTTAAAAAAAAATGTTTTATAAAGTTTGGGGTTAATAAAATGGAACAGGGGTCTATCTATGCAGGGATGGCTTCAGGCCTGAACACGCCCCCTTCTATCTTAATGGACCCATGGCAGCAGAATTAGCAGTGGACAGTTTGGAGCTTTTGTTTACATGTTTCATAATGGCATTGTGAGAAGTACCACTTGTAGATGAGTTTCTGAGTGAATTCCCTTCTTTTGACTGATATGGACTTAAGGGGAGGTTTAGACCACATTCTAGTCCATTGGGTGGGATTAATTTCATAGCCTATGTCATGCTCCCATTGTTCTTTGACTGATATTTATTGGTGCTAATGTGATTGGTGGAACAACTAAACAAAACATGAGTGAGAATCAAATGCTTATAAAAGTATCCATTTTATTTCTCTTATTCACAATAAATATCTTTTTCTTAAAAACATTGAATAACAACAAATATTTAAATAAAGGTCATAACATTCAGCATAACAATGGCACCATATTATTGTTTCTATCTTTTTCCTTTTTTTTGTTCTTTGGAAGACTTATCTCAAATGGCCATTTGGCTCTAAAGTGCTGATTGGGAAGCAAAAGGGCACAACATCCATAAAGACACGCCCTTAGAATAGTCTTCGGAAAAATATGCTGGGCTATTGCTGCACCAGTGTCTCTGTGTATGTGTGCATACACATCTTGTTAGCATGCAAACCATCATTCATAATTTCACAGGAACATAAAACAAGAACATTCTTCAGTAAGTATCCATGAGGATTAAGGCACATTCTGCAGGAATGATGATATAAATACTGTACATATACACCATAAACACATATAAAATATTCCCTTTGGATTTGTGCTCATCTTCCTTTCGCAGGATAAGATTGGCCACCTTTTTGAATCTCCCATTAAAGTCAGGAGGTGAGGTGGCTCCTCCCATCCATTCCCTCTGCAGTACTGTCTTCTGGCACCTGGGCAAGCAGGTACCCAGGTGAGCACAGGAAGGGTCTGAGAGAATAACCGCTCTCAGAATGGTTAGTGCTGAAGATTTCATACTGTGGTTTCACTTCAAATCTGAAATGCATTTTGTGTGGCATAATTTCTTCATTGTTTCCTAGTAGAGAGGTGGATGGAAGAAGGTAGACAGCGATCTACTAGTACATCTCAGGGCCATTTGCAGTAGATTGGCAAGGATTTCCAGCTCCCAGCAACAATAGCAGCAACAAAATGACTCCCTGCACCGCTCTTAATTTATACTGCTGAAATGAAGAGAGCATAGAGGTAACCAGGAGTGGGTTTTCATGCATAACTCTGTTCCATTCTACTGACCTAAAAAAGCTTCTAGGTTCAGTATTCTTTTAAGCATATGTCTTTTGCACCCTGCTCTAGTTGGTGGATCTCAAGGATCTAATAAAGAACAGACAATAGATCCCAAGGGACTCTAGTAAAAATAGAAGTAGATCCCATAAATCTGATGTTTGCCCACCTCTGCCCATAGTACAACCAACAGTCTCAAGATTTCATAGGAAGTAAAACAAACAAACAAACAAACAAACAAACAAACAAACAAACAGCACCCTTCAAAAAGGCAAAAGAGAGATTCTGTATCACATATTGCCAAGCTTTAAGAGAACATTTTGACAAAGAGCTGTCTTTAAAATATTTATAGACCTGAGGTTTCATTTGGCACACTTTCAAAGCAGAGTTGTGAAAAGTTAGTTGTTGGTTTTGGAGATGGAGGGCCAGCAGTTGTGAAAAGGCACTCTGTTTCCAGCTACACAGTTGGTCAAAGCACAGAAGCAACATTTGTGGCATCCTAACCAAATATTTAAATGCCTTCAATCCATGGAATATATTACGATTTGGAGTGCAGAGGCCCAACCGAATAATCATTCCTTGAACTTACGCAGATGGACCTTCACACAAGTGGGCTATCTCAAAATCTTATTTCGCCGTACCATTTGGACCACTTGCTCTTTCTTTTCCATGTCGTTGCCCATATTTTCCCTTCCAGGACTTTGCTTTTCTGTCCACAGTGATGCCTATCATTTCCACAAGAAACCAGTTCAGCCAAGCTCTGGAAGTGAAAGCTGGGCTGTGTGAGGAATAGCAGCAGTAACAGCAGAAGTCTTTCCTGCCCGCACCCCTGTCACTATGCTAGGAGTCTAGATAGTCTTATATTGTCCAATGTGCAGCTCTAGGGGTTCCTATTGGGGCATCTGATTGGCAACTCTGAGAACAGGATGCTGGACTTGGGATGGGCCATTGGCCTGATGCAGTAGGCTCTTCTTGTGTTCTTTCGTTACACAGATGTTTCTGGCAAATCATAAATTTCTTCATACGTATTCAGAGTGGTCTTGCTATTACTCCTTGATGCGTCGTGCATTCTGCTGTAATCTAAAGAAAAATAGTCAAAATTGTTTCCCCACCTCACCAGTACATTCATTTAAAAACCTTTCGTAAATAAAATTGTGTATGTAAGTACAACAGCACATGCCCCACTTATTCACTGAGGCTGTGATCCATCTTCTGTGTGTACAGTGGACTTGGGAAGCTGCTTTATTCTTAGTCAGAGATCATTGACACATCTTGGTTAGCATTGTCTACACCAGAAGCAGTGCACTGGGTAGGGTGGAGCTTCTATGCTAGCTTCCTGTCTGATAGGTGGCTGTTGCTTACCAATAGGGGATGGGCAAGGAGGCTGATGTCATGCAAACATACTAGTTAGGAGCACTGGATTTGCTGCACCAGAGCATTTGCACTATTTATTACTTATTTAAACAAATTACATACCACTTAACTACAATAGTCTCTAAGCAGTTTGCAAAAATACAGCACAAGGAATATGAACTCAATTAAAACTATAAAATCACTGAACATGCCTACCAGAATGAAAAAAATCTTTAGTTGGCCCTGGGTGTTTAACAGGGAGTGGGCCTGTCTGACCTCAGCTGGAAGGAAGTTCTGTAAAATTGGCCCACAATCTGAAACCATGGCTCCTGGTGGATACAATCTGTGCATCTGAGCCCTGGGGGACAACTAACAGTGACTCCCAACCCCCCCCCCAAAAGACCTCAGTGATCAGGACACATATATATGTGATTGGGTGGCCCTTGAGGTATCAACCTGGGCCCAGTAGGACTGGAGCAGACCACCTGGCCTCTCCTAGTAAGCAACAGCAGCCCCACCCCAGCTAGTGAACCACTTCTGGTCTAGATCAAAGGGTAGGCAACTTTTCTTCAGACCAAGACTCACAATCCTTCATAGGCATCCCTATGGTGGGTGGAGCCAGAGGAAAAACTGGGTGGATCAACAAATGTGACTCTTTTCCTTGGATGGGAGGCTACACTCCAGTTGTGCAAATGTCAGAGGTTTAATACGTAAGCCCATACATCTCTCCATCCCCCATGCAGGCAAGTAAGGCATTATCACACATCAAGAACACAGGACTCAGTGAGGAGTGTGGGCTGAGGAGAGACCCAAGGGCCAGAGATGGCCACATTTCAGCCAGTCCCTGGTCCTGAGGTTCCTTCCTCTACATTAGAGTGTGTGTGGACACACAGGACAAAAAGGCGACAAAGCTTTTAAAAAAATATATTACTCCAAAAATTATAAATGTATCTTACCTGTTGGACCTGGGTCTTCATTGATGAATGCAACATGTGTTTTCCATTCAGTCCATTTGACTTCATTAATCCTAGTTAGAGAATTCACGCATTATAATGATTCATCTTTTACACCATGACAGAAACACTTCATGTTTTCAGATTTTTAATCAGGGCTCAGTATTCATTTAATCGATGCACACTTAATCAGTATATGAAAAAGTAATGCCATGTTTTGAGCAGGGGCAGCTAACCTGTGGCCCTCCATACGTTGCCAGACTACAACTTCCATCATCTCTAACCATTGGTGATGCTGACTGCTGAGAGTTGGAGTCCAACAACATCTGAAGTGCCACAGATTGGCCCACCACTGGTTCAGAGCATAGTTTCACTTTTGGAATTCAGTTTGTAGAGGATGGACGTATTTGATTATTCCCTATGGGATATCAGAGGAGGTAGCCACCACAACTAGAAGCCTTGATGCAGTGGCAGCACAGTTAAAAGAGCAGCTTGGAAACTATCAGATCCCTTAAACATGCTATGTAGAGCTTGTTCATTTCTCTCTCTAATAGGACACAGTTATCAAAACACAGTAACTTCATCCATTTCTGAACATTTGATTTACCTTAAACATAACCTGGTATCATTCTCTGCCACTTTGCACCATTCTCCGAGCTGGAATTTTCTCCTCAGGAATTTTGGCAGGATCTTTTCTGTTTCCACAATAGTTCTTGCCCTCTGGTGGTAACAAGAAAAATGTTACCAGATAATGTAAAAAACAAAACAAAAAAACCTTTTAAGAATGCTTATTGGTGGGTGGATTTCATACTTCTAGTCAAAAAGAATAAAGGGGAAAAAAAGATCCTACAAACATAAGGTGTGCTCACTCTTGGTCTACAGCAGGTACGGGAACCCACATTAGGCCCAGCATGGGCCTGTTTTGGCCTGTTTTCTCCAAACAACGTCTGCATTCCCCACACCAGATATCATACATGACTGCAAAAAGGATTTGGAGCTTGAAGTGAACACTTGATTGTTCCTTTGCAAACAGAACCCACTAATTAGCTAGTCGAGGACTGACAACGAGCCCCACTGAGATCACCCGTGCTAAGGCGAGGGGACTAACTAGCTGTGCCGATCAGCTGATTGGCGCTGTCAGCTGACATTCTGTTTACAGGCATGGTTCAGATTTTGGGCTGGAAGGATATGTTCCATCCCCCCCAGTGGTAATGGGAAAACCAACCTGAAGCCTCCAGATATGTTCGCTCTCCTTGGATATATCTTCCACCGTCTCCCCCATCAACGCGATCAACATGTTAAGGAGGAGAACGAAGGTCAAGATGACGAAGGAGATGCGGAGCAGCAGAAACAGAATGGGGTATTTTGCATCCTCGTGGATCTCCAGGTCACCGAGGCCTAAAGTGAGTTTGAAGAGTTCGATCTCGACATTCCCTAAAGTGCTGAAGTTACTGCACTTACTGTTTTCAGGACAATCATCTATCAAGGCAGCAAGGGCTGTGTTTGAGAGAGAAAGAGAGAAGGGCACCTTTAATACTGTATATTTATAGATTGTCTTCTGTGTTCCTGTGCACTTCTCTGGAAGTTTACAAGGAGTTCTTAACAGGGTCAAGAATGGTTGACAAGCTCCCCAAAGACTCCACAATCCTTGCATTTATCTTACCCCATATTCAGAAGAAAATGTTGGGGGGAAGCTTCCACATTGCAGTCTATTGGAGACATGATGCTGCTCATCCACAGAAGTTTTGTTCACCATCCACACAATGTTGTCCCCATTAAAATCCCATCCCATAACCCCCCTCCCCCCCCATTTAATTTGAATCTACCATTTCCACAGGGTGATTTTTTGGGTTTTTTTACTTGCTGCATTTTCTGCAGAATTGGTACATCTGGGTTCAATGGAGAAATAATATGGGGCAGAGTGTTAGGATGATTTTCTGTGGAAATGACACAAAACTTAGCCGCATGAACTGCCATGTGGAAGATCCAAATCATATACTGGTCCAATTTGGATTGGTGTAAGAGGATGCAAGCTTACACATTCCACTGAATGCTTTGTTGGGCAGAGCAGGGCTGTGTTTACCTAGGCGGGCCATCCATGAGTTCTGCAGGCTTAGTCCAGCAAAGATTAGATAGCTCACCATTCCAGCTATGCAAAATGTTTTTAAGATACTGCCACCCTCCTATAGTAACCATCAAATTCTGCTTACCTACACCGAATCCAAGCAAAAATACAATGTACACCACTAGAAACTTTATCACGTCATGCAAGATGACCTATAAAAGGAAAAGGAAAACACAATGGCATGTTAATTGGAACCTCAAAATTCTCCATTTTACCGCTCTACCTCTTTCAGTAGTCCAAGTTATCAGCATCAGTGTGTTCAGTCTATATGCATTTGGAAAGCTGACCCCAAAAGCACTTTTACTGGATGCTGATACATTGTGAAGACAAAACTGTCTCTCTCAATTTGTCTGCATTAAGATGTGCTTCAGAGATCCTTATGCCGAATCAGACCATTGCTCCATAAGAATATAAGAAGAGCCTGCTGGATCAGGCCCATGGCCCAACTAGTCCAGCATCCTGTTCTCACAGTGGCCACCCAGAGAATACCTGTGGGAAACCAGCAAGCAGGACCCGGGCACAAGAGCTCTCCCGCCTCCTTCCAATTGCAGGTAAAGGACCCCTGGACGGTTAAGTCCAGTCAAAGGCAACTATGGTGTGTGGCGCTCATCTCGCTTCAGGCCAAGGAGGCCAGTGTTTGTCCGCAGACAGCTTTCCAGGTCCTGTGGCCAGCATGACTAAACCGCTTCTGGCACAACGGGGCACCGTGATGACTGCCAGAGCACACATTTACCTTCCCACCACTGTGGTACCTATTTATCTGCTTGTGTTAGTATGCTTTCGAATTGCTAGGTTGGCAGGAGCTGGGACCGAGCAACGGGAGCTCAATCCATGGCACGGATTCAAACTGCCGACTTTCTGATCAGCAAGCCCAACAGAGGCAGAGCATAGCCATCATCTATCTCTGTGTTATCAAATGTGGCTCTCCATGGTTTCAGGCAGGGGACCTTTCCCCATCCTGCCTGGAGATGCCAGGGATTGAACTTCTTCATGCAGAGCAGGAGCTGCTCTTGCACTTCCCTCAAAGACAGGCCGCTTTGTTTCAAAAGAAGGAAAAATGGACATTAGAAGAGCCAAGGTTATAGCCAAGTTGCTTATTACAAAAAGTAACAATAAGGACATGCAGCAGCTCATGCAGCAATGGAGCTGCCCTTCTGAAGGACGAGCACTTCTGAGACCAGGGTTCTGGAGATGGTGGACAGACAGCCACAATCAAATATAGAATGGAACTTGGAAGGGCATACTTGCCTGCTGGATCATCACACTATAGATTCCCATGGACTGCAGACCCCGGGTGAAATACAGCATGTTGGCCCACCCTAAGGACATGGCCAAGACGAGGCACGCAAGGTGTTCTTTGTAGGAGAAGAAGTACAAGCAGACAGAGAAGACAACCAAGACTGCTTGTATAAAACTGTCAAGACACAACAGGGAAAAAGTTGCATCTCTGAGGAAAACTGGACAATTAAGAATCAGGTAGAGGCTTTATTGACGTGGGTATGTTACAACTACGAAGGAGGGGGGGCATTTGTCAATTTCAGTTTCTAATTTTCCATTCTAAAATTAATTCTCTGCATTTCTACATTGTGATTATTATTTTGTAAAGTCCACATGGAAATCCATCTGCATTTTAGGGCGTATTTCCTGAAATAGATGCTTTTGCATACAATCCCCCCCCAAAAAATATAATGCATATTTGTAAGTTATTTTCTCCAACACATGCTTTTTTCTGCCCATTTTTTCCCTAGTATTTGTATTTTTGCAAATGAACTGCATTGGGAAATCTGGAGGAGTGAGGATTTCAGAGGGTGGCTGTGCTTCAGTTTGCATATTGTATCAGAAAGCGTGAATTAGGTAGGACGGCCTTTCAAGGCAAACAATCGAATTTCTCTCCCATTCATAATTACAGCACAGCCTTTTAAGATGCTAGTATTAAGCATCTTAAAAGCTGCCCTGGCACCAGGAACACATTTGACCTTAAATGGCATATACATTTATATGTCTAAATCACATCAAGAGCTGGCAGAGAGATTAGAAAAGAGCTAAGGGCAGAGTTAAAGAGAGGCATTGCCCATGAGCCACTTAGCGGAGAAAGACTGGATGTTATTTCAGAGCTGTAATCGTTTGCATTCTTATGCATGACTTACAATGCGAAATGGAACCAAGCATCAGATAGGATTGATTGGAGATCTGAAGGCCTGAGCAGGAAGATAGCTACGCTCTGCAGGTAGAAATAGCCAGGATTAGATTAACAAAACACACATACACACAAAGCAGTGACTAGGGATGGACCAATGCATCAGTTACAGGCATAAGGAGCAGCCAGGAGCAATGAGAGTTGTAGCCTAGCAACATCTGGAGGGCCACAGGTCTCTCCTCCCAAAACCATTCATTTTACTTTTAGGATGTATCTATAAAACTGACACAAACACACAGCAGCTTACAAAGACAATAGTAGGACCGGCCCCAGTTGCACTACAACCTAACAGATGAAGGCAAGAATTAGCACAGCCCTGTACATATATATTCAGAAGTAAATCTCATTAAGTTCAGCAGGGTGTACTTCTGGGCAGGCAGCTAAGGATCACAGCCTGAATGGGGCAGCAAGACTTTTTAAAGTGTTGGTCCTAAAGGAGGAAGTGTGCCCTTTGAACTGTGCCTCAGACAGCAAAATGTCTTGGGTTCGACTGAATGAGAGAGCACTGAAAGTTTCATAACAACTTCTTTGGCCCAGAAATTGAAGACACTACAGGACATAGAGCTCTTGTGGTACAAGAATGTGGACTCTGACTATTGCAGAGAAAATAACTCACAAATTATGCAATTCTAAGGATAAAGAGGACCTGGAATATTTTAACACTGGATTTAATTTCTGAAGTGTCAGATCCAGATGTACAAAACTCTCCCCCCAAACCACGCAATTTGGCTATCATGGTGTGTTTTGCTGCTTTTATATATATATATATGGAAAATACAATCTCTGTACTGCTCCGATGTCTCATCATTTTGATTGATTTGTTTGTACTTTTGATTTTACATTAAAAAGCAAACAACAACAACAATTGAATCTCACCTCTTTAATTGCTATAAATATGGCCCCCAGCATCACTGTCACTTGTCCTGTCAGCTGGAGCCAGCTGAGGTCATCAGTCAAACCCAGAGGATATGGTGGAGCCTGAAAACAAGACAGAGGCGAGAGAAAAATTCAGGATGATCCCAGGACTGAATCTATATCCATTATTTAACATCCTAATTTTCAAATTTCCAACAAGTTGCAGTGCATATGATGTCATGAAGTTAGGATAGGGAAAGTGGTCATGGCGCCTTTTCAGACCAGGAAGTGTGGGCATCTGGGGAGGTTTCAGAGTGCTGGAGAAACGCTTAATGAAAAGGAAAGCATACATGACTCCCCCTTACAATGATGAAGTAAGCTCAACCTAATCCCCTTTATTTATGTTGTTGGCATCTGTCTGTCTCAAGAGACTATGAAGTACACCTCTGGGAGTGAAGTCAAGCTGCTGTGTTAGCAGCACCAAAGCGACCTTCCCGAGGCACAAGCCTGGGCAGTGTGTGTGGAGGGCCTGGGCTGTCCACAGAATGAGACCCCACTCTCAGCCTCACTGATGTGGCCCAAAGGAAAGCGGAGCAAGACTTTGGGCACCAGCTTGGCTGCAGGAGTTGCCGGAAGCAGGCGTACACGGTACCATCCAACCATCAGTCAGCAGGAGAGTTTCTCCTTCAAGTTTCAAAGCTCTTGGAAGCCCACTGCACAGATCACTCAGAGCAGAGCTTTTTGGCTGCCCCTGTTCTGCGGAACAGCATCCCCATCGAGATATGACGGGTGTCCACACCTGCACTTTCCAGAAGCAACTGAGAACATTTTTGTTCCAACCTCAACACTGAATGGAAACGTTTCTGCCATGGGTGGCTACTAGTTTTTAAATTCATGTTCTGTTGGTTTTTTAGCTGTTTTTGTCATGTTTTGTATATCACCTTGGGATATCTGCACAAGGCAATTCATAAATAGCAACAACAGTAACCCTGCACACAACAATATAAATACAAGCTAAAGTGCCCTGTGAATGAGGTAGAAAAACAAAAAAGCATTTTTTTGCAGAAGAAGAAAACTTTCAAGGAATTGGAGGGCAGGTGCTGGCCCATAAAAAATGTATAGCACTGAGGTGTGAAATCTTCACTCAAAGCTTTCATAACATTGGAAGGGTCTGGCTGCTTGTCGTTGTTGTTTAGTCGTTTAGTCGTGTCCGACTCTTCATGACCCCCTGGACCAGAGCCAGGCACTTCTGTCTTCCACTGCCTCCTGCAGTTTGGTAAGACTCATGTTTGTAGCTTTGAGAACACTGTCCCACCATCTCGTCCTCTGTCGTCCCCTTCTCCTTGTGTCTTCAATCTTTCCCAACATCAGGGCCTTTTCCAGGGAGTCTTCTCTTCCCATGAGGTGGCCAAAGTATTGGAGCCTCAGCTTCAGGATCTGTCCTTCCAGTGAGCACTCAGGACCGATTTCCTTCAGAATGGAGAGGTTTGATCTTCTTGCAGTCCATGGGACTCTCAAGAGTCTCCTCCAGCACCAGAATTCAAAAGCATCAATTCTTCGGCAATCAGCAAAACGTGTTCTATTCTGGCTGCTAGAACAGGCCAAAGGGAGCCCAATCCAGTCCAGCGTCCTGCTCTCACAGTGGCCAACCAGTTGCCCCAAAGGGAAGCCCACATGAGCAACTCTCCCCACTTGTGATGCATTCAGAGGCATTTACTGCCTCTAGCAATGGAGGTGGAAGGTTGCCATTGTGGCTAGTAGCCATTGATACATAGCTTTCTGCTCTATGAGTTTATCTAACCCTCTTTTAAAGCCACCTAAGTTGGTGACCGGGACGCGGGTGGCGCTGTGGGTAAAAGCCTCAGTGCCTAGGGCTTGCCACATCGAAAGGTCGGCGGTTTCGGAATCCCCGCGGCGGGGTGCGCTGGCACTGTTGTTCGGTTCCCAGCGCCTGCCAACCTAGCAAGTTGCGAAAGCCACTCCGGGTGGCAAGTAGATAAATAGGGACCGCTTACTAGCGGGAAGGTAACGGCGTTTCCGTGCGGCTCTGGCTCGCCAGAGCAGCGATGTCCACGCTGGCCACGTGACCCGAAGTGTCTCCGGACAGCGCTGGCCGCCGGCCTATAGAGTGAGATGGGCGCACAACCCTAGAGTCTGTCAAGACTGGCCCGTACGGCAGGGGTACCTTTACCTTTTTAAGTTGGTGACCATCACTGCATATTTAACAGCTACGTATTTTACAAAGCAAAATGGGAGAAACAGTGGGGCATTTTTGGGGGAGGAAGGGTCATCTTACCATTTCTGCTTGAGGCCTGTAGTAGGAGATCAACGTCAGCAACACATTGTAGATGAAGTATAAACAGCAGGAGACAAAGAACACGTGTCTGGCAAACCTTTTCCACTTCATGCGCAACAGGGAATGTAGAGGTTCCAACGCCAACATTTCGTGGCGATTCTGCAGAAGACAAGAGGAGTCAGTCCCCCCCAGGGGGTCATCGTGACCAGATAGAGAATAAAATAATGAGCTCTTGGAAACAGATGGTGGAAGATGTCAAGCCTGCGGTTATACAAGCAGTTAATCCCAGCAGAGCCTTGCCTGGAGCAGGAGAACTGAAAGCGTTCAATGGGTAGATTAATCAACTAATGCCTTAGTTGATTAACTAATGGGGAGCCTATTTTATTATAGCTATTCCTTTCTTTTATATGTTGTTTTTCCTCCCTAGGAGCTCAAAGATGCCATACATGTTTCCCGCTTCCCCATCATTTTGCGTTCACACCTGATTTGGGAGGCAGATTAAGCTGAAAGACTGTGACTGGCCCAAGGTCAAGTGGTGTTCTGGGTGAAGATTTGAACTCAGGTGTCTGCAGGCCTTAAGGACTGGCTTAATTTTAACAATGTGATATATGATGGTGGGTTAATGCTGTGGGCTGTATCCAGCTAAGGACGACTCAGAGCAGTCCCATTAAAATTAAGCGACCTAAATTAGTCATGTCCATCAATTCCAATGGGTCTACTCTGAGGATGGCTAATGCTGATGTGTTCTAGAAACAACCTATGTTGGTGAATGAATAGGAAAGGCTGGTTTTTTTTATTTATGTAGAACTTTTCCAGGCATAGTAAAAGCAAGTGTGAGCTCTAGTTAGAAGTGTTTGGATGTGTGTGTGTGTGTGTGTGTGTGTGTGTGACAGAGAGATTTGCTTTAATTGTATTGTTCTATGTAATACCACACACACACACACACACACACACACACACACACAAAACACCACTTTGCAAGAATCCAGCCAGCCAGTCAGCAGTGTCCATTCCATCCACTATCCATTTTCTATCCTTGCCCCTGCCACAGTCACAGCCCTAGCAGATGCTCAGGATTCCATGGCAAATGGGCACATCCAGTTGTTGTTGGGCTAATTTTGAGTTTCTCTCTCCCTTGCAGGATAGTAAAGGTAAAGGGACCCCTGACCATTAGGTCCAGTCGTGGCCAACTCTGGGGTTGCGGTGCTCATCACGCTTTATTGGCCGAGGGAGCCGGCGTACAGCTTCCGGGTCATGTGGCCAGCATGACTCTGGCGAACCAGAGCAGCGCACGGAAACGCCGTTTACCTTCCCGCCAGAAGGACTGCTTTCGAACTGCTAGGTTGGCAGGAGCAGGGACTGAGCAATGGGAGCTCACCCCGTCGCGGGGATTCGAACCGCCGACCTTCTGATCGGCAAGTCCTAGGCTCTGTGATTTAACCCACAGCGCCATCCTTGCCCCTGCCACAGTCACAGCCCTAGCAGATGCTCAGGATTCCATGGCAAATGTCCAGTTGTTGTTGGGCTAATTTTGAGTTTCTCTCTCCCTTGCAGGATTCCCCCCCCCCAAAAAAAGTGTTTTCCTGCAAAGCTTGGAGCTCCTCCCTGCCCCACGTCTGATGTTACCATCCTCTTTTGCATAGATGCTGGCGTTTGGGCTAAATATAGATTGATGCTTGGAAAATTGAACACAGTGTTGGTATGTAGGATTCCTAAAGCAACACTTTTTTTTTAAGGGTGCACAAACTTACCCCAATATTTGTATTGTAGACAATAATATCCAGCAAGGAGTTCTCTGAAGTGGTGTCCAGTTCTGTCAAGTCATACAGGGAAGATTGCACAGGTCCGTAAGCCCAGTCAGTAAATTTCCTGGAAAGGCTTCTGTTTGGCTTGTCTCTGATTTCTCTGCTGAGAATGTATTTCAGAATCTAATGGACCAAAATGGAGATATGTGAGCAAGTTAAAAGTCCCCCACTGACTAATAAATCATAAATCATAATCAACCATTAGTCCAGATGGCTATGTGATACCTCCACATTCAGAGGCATTCTACCATTTGCTGGGGAACAACTGATGGGACTAAGTTATGAGATCTGGCTCAGATCTAATCTTGCATACTGTGCTGTTACCACATTCATTAAGCTCCCACAGACATTGCATAACTAGCATATTGCTGTACCACCTCCCTCTGTTGTTGCAACCAAATGAAAACTAAACTTGGCTCTCTTCCTGTTGCTCCTACCCAGTGAAGTCCAAAATGGCTGCAGAATCTACAGCAGCCTGAAGGCCACATTGTGTTGCAGGCAACCTTCTGAGGACCGCATGCCAGTAGAAGGCAGGAACGAGAGGCAAAAATGGGCAAAGCAATAGATGTGCTATATTCCAGTCATACAACACACACACACACACACACACACACACACACACACCACATATCTCCTCATCCTGTTTGCAAGCAAGCAAGAGACTTTATTGCAGTTTAGGGACATGTTCCAGCCAGACAAAAGCATTCATGGAGGGCGTGGAGCAGCGCTGGTAATGGTGTGACTTGGAAAGGGTTACGAGGGCCAGACAGTGGGCCACATTTGGGCCCTGTGCCTGAGGTTCCTGACCACTGGACCTCCTGATGTTGCTGGACTCCATCATTCCTGACCACTGGCCATGCCTGCAGGGGCTAATGGAATCCAAAACCATCCGGAGGACCACAGGTTTTCCTGGTCTACCCAAAAAACATCCACATATTTCCAGCATTTCATAAGATGCCACCTGCCAGGAGTCTCCTTCTTTTTCCTCCTTCGCTTCCCAAGTCAGGCTTACCTCCAGCTTCCCAGTTTTCGCAGCTAGCTGTAGAGGCGTCAAACCGTCCTTATTCTTCATTGTCTCCAAATCCCGGTTTCTGCTTTTCAAGAGGATGGCGTCGTACATCTTCCTCACAAAGTCATTTTGCGTCTTAAAGTCTTCTGCGACTGTCACCAAGGCATGGAGTATATTGTTCCCCCTCGAATCTTGGGAAGTGATGTCCGTCTTGCTGTTGTTCATTAATAGTTCGACAATGTCTGGCTGGTTTGTGCAGGCAGCTAACGCCAGGGGTGTCTCTCCTGAGGAAATAATGCATCATTGTAGTTGTTTGTTGCTCTTTATATTTTTAATTTAATTGTATTAGGGATGTATAGTTTCAGAGGGGCAGTTCTCAGTTTCTCATTTTTCCAACGCTTCATATTTCCACACCAGATTGTGATTTATTCATTTTTTATAAAGTCATTGTGAGAATTTAGCAGCCTTTCGGTGCAAATTTCTCCTAATATACACACTTTTGTGTGTAGCCTTTTGCCTGACACACATTTTTACAAGCAATTTCATGCAGAGTTTTTATGTTGTTTTTACTAACAATTGCATTTTAACACACACTTTCCCCTAAGATATATGAGCTTTGGCATACATTGTTTGGTTGGCAATCTGCATTGCAAAATTCAGAGAATTGCAAATTTCAAAGGATAGGTGTGCTTCAACTCACATGTTGCTTCAAAAAGTGCTGGTGGGCTAGGTATGCATTTGGCTGCAAGCTGAAGCAAATTTCTCCATCTGTATGTGGGGAAGAGGACATGGGGGTCCTCCTGATGCAAACATCAAAACATGTAGATACCAGGCAAAACTGCACACTAGTTTGTGTATTTTAGGAGAAATTTGCACTAAAGGTGCGGATGAATTTTCCCGAGGACTTTTCAAAATTTGCAATTATTTAGGAGAAATGTTGAGAAATGAACTAAAGATTGGGATGCTGGTAAATTGAGAGAAAACAAAAACAGATTCATCCACCCCTGTTCCCATGGCATCATTGCATCAGCTGGCCTCCTGCATTCGCTTACCAAAATAAAAACCTTCGTGCTTGTGTTTAGGATTGAAGAAGATGCCTTGTGCATGGGCGTTCACATCCGCTCCTTTCTCGATCAGGGTCTGAGTAATGTCATACTGCCGTCTCTCAATGGCAATGTTTAAAGCTGTCTGTCCTACAGAACAAAGAAACACATGTACCTCAGGTAGTGCAATGGGCCAGTGTGTCTGGTTGCGAACCAGAAGGTTGGTGGTTCAAGCCCACCCAGGGGTAGCTGTGGGCATTGCAGGAGCTTGGACTAGATCAGGGGTTGTCAACCTGATCCCTACCGCCCACTAGTGAGCCTTTCAGAATTCTAGGTGGGCGGCAGGGGGTTCTATGGCACAAGCTGAATCCTCCTTCCATCGAGCACTGGTGGGCAGTAAGGAAATTTTACCACCAAGAAAGATGCATTAGTGGGTGGTAGGTATAAAAAGGTTGACTACCCCTGGACTAGGTGATCCTTTGGGAACGTTCCAACTTACAATTCTGTGATTCTCATTCTGCAATTCCATAATTTGTCACCCTAGCGTCCTACCCACTGATATTTAGTCTTGTTTTTGCTATAACATGCTAAAACGGCATTTGCTCTTGCTTTGCAGATTGGAAACATCTTTTCGAGTATTTATAAACCTGATCCATTCCCTCCCCCCATCACTTAACAGAATGCATAAGAACATAAGGATCTAGAAGGGTCGGCTGGTATACGTCAGAAACCCAATCTAGCCTAGCATCCTGTTTTCACAGTGTCCAACTAGATGCCTGTGGAGAGCCTGAAATTAGGGTGTCCCCACTTAGGAAATGTTTAGAGCTGATAAAGGTAAAGGGACCCCTGACCATTGGGTCTAGTCACGGCTGACTCTGGGGTTGTGGCGCTCATCTCGCTTTATTGGCCGAGGGAGCTTCCGGGTCATGTGGCCAGCCTGACTGAGCTACTTCTGGCGAACCAGAGCAGCGCACGGAAACACCATTTACCTTCCCGCCAGAGTAGTACCTATTTATCTACTTGCACTTTGACGTGCTTTCGAACTGCTAGGTTGGCAGGAGCTGGGACCGAGCAACGGGAGCTCCCCCATCACGGGGATCCAAACCGCTGACCTTCTGATCGGCAAGTCCTAGGCTCTGTGGTTTAACCCACAGCGCCACCCATGTCCTGATTTAGAGCTGATATTCAGAGGCAATACTGTCTCCAACGGTGCAGGCAGGACATAGGCATCCTGGCTAGTGTAGGGCTATTGCTAGCCCTATCCTCCATGAACTTGTCTAATCCTCTTTTAAAGTCCCCCAGGTTGGTGATTCAGTTGCGTTGTATGTTATAGTCCAAAGTCATAGTGTGATGAGGGGAGCAAGTACGTCATAGGGGAATAAGTGCTATGATACTCATCACAATATTCTTTCAGGTTTGAACACAAAGCACAAATACTGTACCTCTGTAGGCCTCTTCTGTGTATGCAGCATTGATGAGCCTTTCTAAGATCAGGTTTTCTTCTGCAAACGAGAGAAGTATTTTCACAATTTCCTTTGTGTTCTCGTTGATGTTTAGCAAGGCTTTCATTAGGCAGGTCTTGCCTGTGTCAGAAGAGGTCATTTTTTTCATCAGATAGTCTGGCAAGATAATAATAATAATAATAATAATAATAATAATAATAATAAAAATTAAAAACAAGTGCTTAAATAAAATCCTAGCATTGGAGGGAGGCCATTGTAGGTTTCCTGCTCAGTTCAGGAAATCCAAAGGATTTCCACTAGATGGCTACCCATCTTCGGTTTCAAGAGCCCTAGCAAGGGAAAGTGCACTGCTTCTCTAGGTAGCTGATTCTATTAATTAGCTGCTCTTGCCATTAAGACATTTCCCCTAAGGTATGAGCAAAATCTACCATCCTTTAAACTACCACCACTGGGTGGGGGTGCCCAGTTGGCAGTGACCCTTGACAGGGCCTTCCCGGTGGTGGCTCCCCATTTGTGGAACTCCCTTCCTAGTGAGGTGTGTCTGTCTCCTCCCTTATTATCTTTTAGGGAGAATCTAAAACAGAAGAACGAAAGCAGGATCAAGCCAATGGCCCACCTAGTCCAACATCCTGTTCTCAATGTGGCCACCTGGATGCCTGTGAGGAAACTCACAAGCAGGGTTCAAGCATGAGGGCACTCTCCCCTCCTGTGGTTTTCCAGAAACTGGTATTCAGAAGCATTACTGCCTCTGACCATAGAAGCACAGCATAACCAGTAGCCACTGACAGACTTCTCCATGAATTTGTCTAATCCACTTTTAGAGCCATCCCTGCCACCAGCCATTTGATAGCCAAAAGACACTATTCCTAGCAACCCAGAAATTATTCGCTGTGAGAGTACGTCTTGGTTTTTAGAAGCCTTTAACTGTTTTTAGAAGCTTGTTTTTCAAAACCGTTTTTAGACATTTTAATTCCATCTTATTGATATGTTTGGAACTCTGGGCTCCTTTGGGAAGAAGGGCTGGGTATAATTTTAATTTAATTTCTGAATACCTTGGACTGTCAGGTTTCTGCAGGCATGGGACCGATCCTTCACTTCGGCAAGGAGGTGCTGGAGTTCTTCTATATTGCCCTCTGACACTGCCCGAAACAGATACTTCTTCAACTTTTTCCGGCGGTTGTTTTGCCGAGCGCTTTGAGATGAATTAGTGCTGGATTAAAAGCAGAAGAATGTTGGCATGGAAGCAGAGAAATGGTTGCAGCTCAGCCGGGAAGTTCAGATCTCTCTTCAGCTGCAAACTCTCTTACGGTAAGCCTGCCCTGTATTTGCAACGTGAAATAATAATACTGGTCCACCTTGTAGAGCTGATAAGATAATTTGTGCAAGATGCTCTAGACACTCAGATGCACGCTATGTTTGGGTAAAGGGCTTTGCTTGTAGCTTGGTAAGCTTAAAACCATTTCCTATTTGTCCAGCTATATGTATATAGTGTTAAGGACTTAGCTGAGCAAGCTTCAGCAAGAACCTGGGTTTAGGATGTGAACCAGGGTTAAGTGATAATCCAGCATCAGACCTCATCTTGTTCCTGTTCTCTTTGAAGTTGTTTGCTATGCATTTTGTTTTTGATGAAGGTGGTGATTTTATTTCCATCTTGCCCTTCCAGAGTTGCCCAGGGCAGCAAACACCAAAGTGGTAAAACAATACAATTAAAAGTAAGATAAATATAAATACAAAGCACTTGAGAACAGTTAAAAGCATCTAAAAATGTTTAAGAACATCTACAAAATTTATTTGATCAGCAATCATTCCTAAAGGCACATCCAAATCGATATCTAGCCTGGTGGCTTTGGTTTTTAGACCACACCGGTGGGAAGGAGAGGAAGATCTCAGTAAATCTAACCCATGTCAGCACTGAATCTATAGAAAACCCCTGTGCAGAAATGCATCACGTTTGTTCACTTACCAATAGCTGTCTGCATTTGGGGTATATTCAGTCATGTCATCTTGGAGAGACTGTGGGGAGTCCATATCTTCACAATTTGCAGATGCACTGGACGCAAAAAAAGAGGGTGTGGGAAGAAAAAAAAATTAAGGTCAGAAGAATATCAGCTGCAATTACACAAGAAAATCAGGAAACAAAAGCATCTAGAATGAATATAATTGGCGACTAAGACTTAATTTGCAGCCTTCAGACAAGGAGTGCCATAACAAAAATGTTTATATGGGGCAAAACGGATGGCCCTTCCTGCCTCCTGTGGCAGCAAGTCATGTGACTGACAGGTGGGCAGTCCTGCCCACCTGTCGAAGTGGCACTTAGGATGGTGAAGTAGATGATAGGTGGGCCTGCTGCTGAGCCTCAGAGCAGCAGCTCAAGCAAACCTCCCCACCTCCACCCCACCCTACCTCTCTTCCCTAAGGGTGACGAGGCTGGGAAGCTGGGAATAAGGCTTTTTGCTTGTGATGCTTGCCAGGGGGCTGTGCTGCATTCGCCCTGGCAAGCAGCATCGTGGAAGCCCGGCCGTGCCTTTTCCTGGCAACGTGAGGGAAGCAAGCTCGTTATCTGGTACATACCACGGGCGGATATTGGAGTCCATTGGCTTTGAGAAGACGGGAGGTGACGTCCGGCTTGGTGTGACATTGGTGTCGAAGGCTTCAATCTCGAGAAAAAAGTGGGAACTGCTGAATACATTGGATTGAAGCTATTATTAGTAGGAGGGCAAAAACAGAGAGCGACAGGCCTAGCAGCCACCCCCCTGTCCATATGTGTTTCATTTTCCAGAGGGGCAATTAAAAAAAAGCTCTGCATTGGTGCATGGCAGATATAAGTGGGACCTCCATACACAGGGGCAGTCTACCTCTAATTATGAAATGCTGAGGACAGCAACATGGGGAGGGCTGTTGGCTTTGTACCCTCCTTGGTGTCTTCCTGGAGGCATCTGATGGGCACTGGTTGACCAATCAGACTGCTGCACTAGATGGACCTTTGACCCGGCTTCACACCTTCCTCGAATGTTTTTTACCCAGCTGGAAATGTGTCCTTGAATTCTGATAATGCCTCTTGCTTGTCTGGATGAAGGATAGAGTGTGGGGCATTTCCGTGTGTGTAGAAACTAACCTACTACATAAAGGTGAAAAATGCACCTGTTGCTCCACCAAGTTTTGTCTCTGGCTCCGCCCACCATAGGCAAGTGGCCCTCGGAAGGTTGGCTAGCAGGCAATGCGGCCCTTGGTCTTAAAAACGGTTTTCCGCCCTGAATCAGAGAGCTTGTTGCAAATTTAAGCACCTGCTTTTCAACCCTTTATGTTGTCACTTCCACCTAAATAAAAAATCAGGTAGGGCTATCAGGCAGAAGTCAGTGGCCCTGCTCAGCAATAGCCAGGGATGGCATTTTTAATGGAGTGAAGTATTGTACAATACCTTCTAAATAGGTCTCCCCACTCCCAGCCCCCAGTATTATACTGTAAAATTACAGAACAGCACCACTGATTGAATCCGTGTTTGACCAAAAATAAAATTTAAAAATCCACATAGGTATCTTTCAGAGAAGCCAAATGATTTGTGCGTGTATGAGAGAACACAATAACTGAATAAACAAACGCTAGCAATAATTGTTAAGGAGGTCAGTTTGGAATGTGGGTGATACCTACCAGCCAAAGAGGGGGATGAGACCAGTGATCTGCCTGAGAGAGGGGGTGTTCCAAAAGAGGAGGGGGAAAAACAGAGTCAGGTTTTGAGTCTAGCCAGCAAAAGAGAAACAAGTTTGATTCCCCACCCACCACCCCCTGGAGCTAGCTGGCAAGAAGGAACACTGGGGACTAGAAACATGTGTGGCTGTGGAATGTGCCTGCTTGCAACCCATCCACTTCACCTGCGTATCTGCAAGAAGCAGGTAGTACAAACAGGCCACAAGCCCAGGGTTTCAGCTGTCATTAGAGGTTGAGGAAGTTTTTTTGGGTGGTTAAAGGTAAAGGTAAAGGGACCCCTGACCATTAGGTCCAGACTCTGGGGTTGCGACGCTCATCTCGCTTTATTGGCCAAGGGAGCTGGTGTACAGCTTCCGGGTCATGTGGCCAGCATGACTAAGCCACTTCTGGTGAACCAGAGCAGCGCACGGAAATGCCATTTACCTTCCCGCCGGAGCAGTACAGCAAGAGCCGGTGTGGTATGGTGGTTAGGGTGCTGGATTCAAATCCCTACTCAGCTTTGGGGCAGTTCATTGACTCTCAGCTTAAACTGCTTGCAGGGTTGTTGTGAGGACAGAATAGGGAAATGGGGAGAAGAAACAACCATCTTGTGCTCCTTGGAGGAAAGGCGGGGCAATAAATTAACATTGAAGGTTGTTTTAAAAATAAAATAAATAAATTTAACAGGGCAAGACAGCACCTGGCTATCTTATGAGCCAAGGTAGCATATCTGACCCATGCTCATAATTTCCAGTCTAGCCTACCTCACAGGGTTGTTGTGGGAATAAAAAGGAGGAGCACACAGCACCTGTGCTGCTTTGAGCGACTTAAAGGAAAGATGGGATAGAAATGTACCGTATTTTTTGCTCTATAAGACTCACTTTTTCCCTCCTAAAAAGTAAGGAGAAATGTGTGTGCGTCTTATGGAGCGAATGCAGGCTGTGCAGCTATCCCAGAAGCCAAAACAGCAAGAGGGATTGCTGCTTTCACTGTGCAGTGATCCCTCTTGCTGTTCTGGCTTCTGAGATTCAGAATATTTTTTTTCTTGTTTTCTTCCTCCAAAAACTAGGTGCGTCTTGTGGTCTGGTGCGTCTTATAGAGCGAAAAATACGGTATATATTTAGGAGGGCTGTGCCTGCCCTACCTTCCTAAAAATAGCCCAAGACGGCTAACAACATCAGGAATAAATGCAACAACAAAGATTAAACATTTGTAAAACGGTGAGATGAAAATGCCACCTATAAATGGAACAAATCCATCAGCCGTATGGCTTGTGGAGTAAGTCAACTGAGAACTGTCTCCAGGTCAAACTGGTGAAGCCCTTTCTCCCCCTTTGCTCTGAATTTAGTGCCTTGTCTCCAAGGGTGAGAAGCTCACACCCCACATTCCCACGCTCTGGGCCTCTGTGGGCAGATTCCAAAGCCAGCGTGTGACACATTTCTCTGAGCTTACACAGCAAAACACAACACACACAAAAATGTGGGTGTTTATAGAACAGAGGGATGGGATGGGGAGGAGAGAGAGAAAAGCCGAGGGAACATCAGTCTCCTGCCAGAAAACAGTAGCACAGCGGCTTTTGGAAAGCCCCGAGAGGCAAGGTGGGGTGGAACAAGCTGTTTACATTTTGCTAAGATCAGTTTAAAAGCAATGGCAATAGCAGCCATTGAAAGCAGAAATGTCAGTGCATTGTGCACAGTGATTCTTGGGAGCAGGATGAGGATAACAGCCCTGAGTGTTGTTTACTTCTGTTCAAGCCCTGCATCAGTGTGTAAAGTTTACCACTGGACTCAGTATCCTCAAGTTCCTAGTCAGTAAGGTGGCAAAGATAGGCTAGTATGGAGCCAGTGTTGGGGGTTGAATAGGGCTCCTATTTGTCCGTGCACACCTCCTCTGCCTCTCAACTAGCAAAAACAAAAAAGAAAAAAGAAAAAGCAAGTTTCTAGTCCTCAAGGTTGCAAAAAAAGCCTAGTTTGGGAAGGAAAGTGAGAAATTGCAAAGGACAGCTGTGTTTCGGAAAGGGAGAATTCAACAGGGCCAGCTTTAAATGCATCTTGAAGTGAATTTCACCCCCTTCGTGCGTGTGTGTGTATCCTAAAAAATGAGATACCACTGCACATATCTTCATAAAAGTGCCTTGGATGCGAGCACACAATGCCTGCTTTTGGCAGCCAAAAAAAGAGGTGACTATACTCCAACCTGATGAGTTCCATCACAACCGAAGCAAGCACTATGTGTAATCACAGAATATACATACAGTTGTGTACTATCAAAATTTAGACCGTAGGCTCTTGAGGGCAGGGATGTTTTTGTTGTTGCAGCTGTTGTACCTGCATGTGTTACTCTGTCAAATGAAACGCCTTTTGATTGCATTATGCAAATGAATACCCTGAGCAAATAACTAGCTCAAGACCTGCTGAGTTTGACAGGTGAGGGTGGGGAGGCCAGGTCACCTTAAGGCTTTATCCTGAGAGTCAGAGGATGGAGCTTGGGAGCTCAAAGAGCAGTGCTTCATATGAAAGGGTGGAGCCTGCTTAGAGCATGGAAGGGTATCTGATTGGGCAGAGGTCTGAGCTTAGCTGTGATTGACAACTCAGCGTGGAACTCCTCTGGTGTGGAGGCGTGGCCTGGTGAGCATAGAGGAGGAGCTAATCACAAAAAGTCTTCCGCAGTGTTTGAATGATTGAGGAAGAGTTTTTAAAGCTGTTTTAGGGGGCTCTGCAGATGCCACAAAATATATAGGGCACTGGATCCCACTTAATTCAAGCGAGCCAAGCAGAGGTCAGCCTGTCCACCTTGGTTCTGGCCCATCACTCTTGCATTTAAATCAGCTATTTGCAAATGTGGAGAAGTACAGAAAAGGATCCAAAATACTGCAGATATCATACAATTATAGAGTTGGAAGGAACCACAAGGGTCATCTAGTCTAACCAGCTGCAAGGCAGAAATCTTTTGCCCAGCATCAGGCTCAAACCCACGACCCTGAGATTAAGAGTCTCAGGCTCTACCAGCTGAGTGCTCTCTAGCAACGATTAATTTTGAAAACACACATGACGCACCATAACTTAGTAGCTGAGGATCTGCTTTGCATGCAGGAAGCTGCAGGTTCAGTTCCCAATGGGAAAAACTCCCTACCTAAAATTCCTGGACAGCTGCTACTGCCAGTCAGTGTAGAGAAACTGGTAGCCTTCCAGATGTTGTAGGACTCCAGCTCCCAGCAGCCAGCATGCCCAATGGACAGGGGTTATGAGAACTGTAGTCCAGCAACACCTGGAAGGCCACAGCCTCCCTACCCTGGCATATACAGCACTGAGCTAGGTGGCAGATAGTTCAGCTCAGGCATAAAGCTAGCTTCTTACATGCACAGCCAGAGAAAGCTGTGTGCCTGTGTGCAGGCTGACTCTGATACTAGTTGTATAAGGAAGCGGGAAATGAATGACTGAAGATCCTTCTGGGAATGACTGAGGCACTATCCATAGGTACCTGGCCACAAATCACAGCCTCCCCACCCTCTGATGACACACCCCACCTCTCCTGGGCATGTTGCTATTCTTCCCTGTTCAAAAATGGGCTTGCTAAGTCAACCCACCTGTACTTTCAGGTAAAGGGGTGCGAGAGAGACAACATCAAAAAAGAGGCATGGGAATCATAGAATTGTAGAGTTATAAGGGACCCTGAGGATCATCTAGTGTGGGCATCCCCAAACTCGGCCCTCCAGCTGTTTGGACACATCCCATCATCCCTGACCACTGGTCCTGTTAGCTATGGATGATGGGAGTTGTAGTCCAACAACAGCTGGAGGGCCGAGTTTGGGGTGCCTGATCTAGTGTAACCCCTGCATTGCAAGAATATGCAGCTGTCTCGTACGGGGGTCGAACCTGTTAACAGCACTGTGCTGTAACTAACTGAGCTATCCAGGCATTGAAACCTTAGAAAAGCCTGGCTGTGCTGGACCAGAGCAAAGAGAGGCCACTCAGTTCAGCATCCTGTTCTCACAGTAGCCAGCCAGATGCCCTCAATGGGAAGCCCACACACGGCACTTGAACAAAACAGCAACTCTCCCTGCCTGCACTTCCCAGCAGCTTCTATCCAGATGCCTTTGACCATTGAGGCACAGCACAGCCATTGTGGCTGGTAGCCATTGATGACCTATCCTCCGTCAATTTAACCCTCTTTTTAAGCCACCTGATCATTCCAATCTGCAAGCAATCCCAGAACCTTCAAATTGGGTCGAATTGAATAAAAACATCCCACTTCAAGAGCACTGCAAAACTCCGGATTTAGAAACCCTCCCATCGGTGCCTGATGGACAACAGCAGAAGAAGCAGTGAGACATGTAATTAAATGGAGCACAGAGGAGCATTCCTTGCAATTAAATCTGCTCACGTGGTCCCTGTTGCTTACACCATAGGAATGTTTTGGGCCGCACCCCGTTTTCACCAGGAAGACAGGAAAGTGTATTGGCTACACCCGCCTTCTTGGGCTGGTGCGGGAGGCTTAAACCTAACAGCTGGATATGAGTGGTTGATTAGAAGTGAGGTGACAAGCATTTATCTTGTCTGTTCGACGTATTTCGAGATGAGTTACAACATCAACAAAGCCATGAGCAGGCATGTGAGTTTCCCGGATCTTGTCACCAGTCTCGATTTTAAACAGGATTTAAATAGAATGGATTGTGGAATGCACTTCCTAGGAAGGCCCACCTGGCACCAACAACATCATTGTTTCAATGCTAGCCAAACACTTGTTTTGTTTTCTTGGGTGTTCAGGCAGTGCTAATGATATTACTTATTGTGGTGTGGTGTCTAGGGTGTCCGACGAGGACCTGGGAGACCAGGGTCTAAATGCCCACTCAGCCATGAAGCTCACTGGGTGACCTTGAGCCACTCACTGCATCTCTGCCGAACTTACTTCACAGGGCTGTTGTGGGGATTAAACAAGAAGGGGGAGGACCGTGTAAGCCAGAGCTCCTTGGAGGACAAGGTGAGGTAAAGATGTGGCAATTCATAAATGGAATGAAATAAATCTTGTTAAACGGATTGTTTAAACACATTAAATCTGTTTAAAATTGAACATCTATTTTTTGTGGCTTGTAAATCACTATGGAACCTTTTAAAGGGAAGTTATATACAAATTTAATTAAACCAGAAAGGGAGGGAGGGAGGGAGGGAGGAAGGAAGGAAGACTGAGAACTCAAGAGAGCAAAGGATTTCAGGAACACAGGAAGCAGCCTTCAGCTGTGTGTCACTTTAGGTCAAGCAATTTCTGCATCTAGCCCATTATCACCTGCTCTGACTGGCAGCTGCTCTCCAGGGTGTTGGGCAGAAATTGGGTTTCTCTCATCACCTGCCACCAGATCCCTTTTTAACTGGCAATGCCAGGGATTGAACTTCCAGCGTTTTGCATGGAAAGCCATGTGCTCTACCAAGTGGTGCAGCTAGGTAATTTTAGACCCTGGAGTTACACCCATCTTACACCCTCATGCTTTGTGCTGTCATGTGTACAACTTCAGTTATGAACCACACAAATCACATTTCTCTTCCTCATCTCCCCTACTTCAGCTGCCATTCCTTTCTTTACAACTGCTTCTGCATTCCTGATATATCGCAGAAAACAATGACAAAAGAACCACAGTTGGTTAACCCTGATTTTAAAAAAGAAGGAGAATACTCTGAGCATGTGCAGATGGCCCTCTTGAATCACAGAACCATCATGGCTACAGAGAGCTTATGTGGCATCATAGACTGTGTTGGAGATACAGGGACCACCTTCACACCATACTGTAGATTTAAAAGCTTCCCCCAAATGATTTTGGGATCTGAGAGGGTGCTGAGATTTGTTATGAGAAACTGCTTTCCCTTCACAGAGCTACCATTCCCAGCTCCGTTTAACTATCAATCCGTCTTCAGAGAGAATTATGGGATTTGGGAGGTCTCATAAAAAACCAGGGCTTTTTTCCAGCCGGAACTCAGTTCTGACACCTCTCAGGTGAGCACCATTGCCATGGTAAGAGAACAAGGGAGAAAAACCTCTCATGATGAGTTCGGGCACCTCTTTTTCTAGAAAAATAGCACTGATAACAACACTCTTCAGCTCTTCAGGGGAAGCTGTGATGGTTTAAACTGGCATGAATGTGGCCTGAGTGACCATGGTCCAGTCTCTTTCTCCCTCCCTCTCTCTCTTGACCTAGCCTACCTCACTAGATTGTTGTGACGATAACTGGGGTGTGCTGAAAAAGAAACTCCATGTGTGCACCTCAGAGGACAGGTGGGGTTTACACGTGTGATAAATAAATGGAACATTTACCATGCGGCTACTGGGTTGGTCAACTTTCGAGGGCTGCCTTGTCCCTCTGCAGGCTTCGTGGGGTTCCTCAGTGTCTGGCGTGTCACCTCTGAGCGCGTGGAACTGTTTCCGCTGAAAAAACATGGCCTTTGAGGTGAGTGTGTTGTAGAAACCCTAACTACAGGCGGTCGCTCTGCCATGGTTTAGCTCATTTATATACCCATCACCACCGCCCTCCAGCAGTGGGTCTCGTAGGCCTTTGCTTCTGAAAGTGGAACTTTGCACATTTTGAAAGCCATCGCCACCCATGGATTTGCTGCTTGAAACAGTAGCCGTGTTTCCAGTCCATCCAAAATCCATACTATATTTCAGCGTTCTTCAGTTTGGTGGTTGTGGGGGCCAACTCAGATGTTGTCTGGACCACAGCTCCCATCATCCCCAGCCAGCTTAGCCGGTGGTCAGGGGTGATGGGAGTTGTAGTCCAGCGACATCTGGGGCCTGAAGAACACTGCCATATTCAACATACCCTGTATCCTGACATCATTACATGAGAAATGTGCACCTTTCCCCTGCCAGAAGCAGGAGCAGGGGAACAAGTAGGGAGCGTCAGTGTCCCATTTGTTGTGGGGAGAGGAAAGGACTCAGCACAGAGCTCCCACCCAAAATGGCAGCACCGTATATTTTCATAGAGTTGGCAGGGACGTCAAGAGTCATCTAATCTAACCCCCTGCAGTGGAGGAATGTCAGCTAAAGCATCCATGGCAGAAGGCAGAGTTTAAAGCATTCCTGTTGATTGCATTGATACCATAACCCTTCCTCCAAGGAATTTGTGATGCTTCCCAGTCTTTAACCTCACAACAACCCTGTGAGGTAGGTTAAGCTGAATTAAAAATTTTGTCCCATCACTCAGTGAGCTTTGGGGCTGAGTATGGATTTAAACCTGGGCTCTCACAGCCCTAGTCTCACATTTACACACCCACCCACCCACACCTCCCCCCACACCCCTCCACCCAAGCAGGCGAGAGGCATTATCAGAATTCAAGGACACATTTTCAGCTAGTCAAAATCACTAGAGGAGGGTGTGGGGTGTGGCTAGGGGAAGAAGGGGCATGGAATGGGGTGTGATATAGCAAGAGTCCCCCAAGGGGACTACAAGGTTGTGTAACTTCAACTCTAAAAATTACACCGGTCCTTGGAAATGCGTTGCCAATTCATCTTGTGAGATTTCCAATCAGAGCTTTCCAAACTGTGTGTTGCGACACGTTAGTGTGTCGGCTCCTGTGTGTAGGCATGAATGCTCCCCACGCTCCTCCCAGGGCTGGAAAGGGGTTAGTTCAACCTCCGGTTTGCTAGTAAAACTGAATTACTGTGTCACGAAATGACGCATGTCTATAAAGTGTGTCACCAACATGAAAAGTTTGGGAAGTTCTGTTCCTAGTGATGGAGCCTAGATCTGCAGAAAGGTAAAGGTAAAGGGAACCACGACCATTAGGTCCAGTCATGACCGACTCTGGGGTTGCACACTCATCTCGCTCTATAGGCCGAGGGAGCCAGCGTTTATCCGCAGACAGCTTCCGGGTCATGTGGCCAGCGTGACTCAGCCGCTTCTGGCGAACCAGAGCAGCGCACGGAAACGCCGTTTACCTTCCCGCTGGAGCGGTACCTATTTATCTACTTGCACTTTGACGTGCTTTTGAACTGCTAGGTGGGCAGGAGCAGGGACCGAGCAATGGGAGCTCACCCCATCGTGGGGATTCAAACCGCCGACCTTCTGATCGGCAAGTCCTAGGCTCTGTGGTTTAACCCACAGCGCCACCCGCGTCCCTAGATCTGCAGGAGCTTGGGTGCAAATTTACAAAGGCGACCTGCTGTTTGAGAAGAGAGCGTGACTTGCCTTTTTCATAAGAGCAGCCTGCTGGATCAGGCCAGTGGCCCGTCTAGTCCAGCATCCTGTTCTCACAGGGGCCAAACAGATGCCCATTATGTTTCTGAAAAACACAAATATCAAAGACGCCCATTGTCTGCCTTTGCAGCATTTTGCCTGATGCTGCTCCTTACCTTTTCTTCTCTTGGGGAGCTGTCGGCGGGGTCCCCGGCGGATTTGCTTTCTTGCTTCCCATGAGAGGAGCCATCTCCTTGCTATCTCTGATCATCGTCCTGGAAGAGAGGATCCCGTGGGTCAACTTGGCTGTCCGTACAAAATTAACCTGCATTAATGTAGTGCGATTTAAAAACAAACAAATTGCTTGATCTCACAAAGAGTGAGAGTGCATTCAGTTGCAGGTCTCTCGCCTCCCACCCCCTCAACCCCACATACACCTGTGTTCATCCCAAATGCCAACAGCCTAAACAGGTGGTCCTGTTTTATTGGTCGCCTTATTACCTCATCGCCTATCCTTGTTTAGTTTACTGTTTTATTGTTTTATTTTTACTCAACTTGATTTACCGCAACAATTAGACGCCCGTTGAAGCCCAATTGCAGCCTCTGTGACTGACTTGCAGTTTTGTTTCTGGCTAAAACTTTGGACTAACATCTTGTTGCGAAGATTTGGCTCTGGCTTGATAGAACTCGGCAAACCTTATCGGAATGACTGCCGGAAGGGAAAAACGAGGCAGGAAGAGCCCAAACAGCATAATTGGGACTCACAAATCCTCTAAAGCAGAGAAGCAGTTGAAAACCAACACTGCATCCCCAGCCAGGAAACCGAACAAATTGTAAGTAATTGAAATATACTTGGAGTCGAGTGCGGATTTCATGCTCTTTATTCAGCTCATAGTAGTGAGGAATGAAAGTTCCCCCAAAATATCTGCTTTATATACATTATTTACACAATGGGTCGCACGTGATTGGCTAATTCTGGGATTCTCCTGTAGGCCAATCAGGTTGCGGATTCACTTCCTCCTGGAGCTGGATTGGGTGGCTCCTGCGGATCAATCATACTGCTGCATTCTGAATCCTATTGTTCTAGGACCAATCAGACTGCTGCTTTTTGGATCCTATTCAACTCAGTACGTAACAGTAATGAAGCCATGGGAGCCCCCTCCCTTTCAGGGTGGGAAGGAGATGATCTGACACAGAGGACAGGAACAAGAGGGGTTCCCCCTATCCCAAACATTGACCCACCCTTCTCATTAGAACAAGACAGTAGAGGAACTTACATTCAGCAGATTCCAGACGTGCACCCTTACCAAGAAATTCACATGGTGTCTGCAGAAACTATGGTCTGATTAAAATAGTCAATACAGAGGAAAATTTGGACATGTGCTCCTCCTCCACAAACTCTCAAAGGGTTAAAAGGACGACAAGGCACAGTTGTGTCAGTGTTTCACCAACCCGAGTCCCAGATGTCTTGCCAAGTCCTTCAAAAGAATGAGGCAGTGCTCAAGATCCACCACAATTTGCACAGATGGATGAATTACAGGTCAATTATGACGCCCTTATCTCGGCTTTTGAACTGCCACTACCAAAAAGTAGATCTGGAAAATTTCCATTTTCTGCCCAGCATAAGAAATACCAAACGCTTACTTATGACTTTCGGTAAGCCTGCCCTCCTGTCCCGACTTGTGCAGATAAAAAACATCTTATGGTGGACTCACTTCCTTTACCCAATAAGGGTCTTCAAGGATGAAACAGTGAGACAGCTGATCTCTGGCAGGCAATCCAAGCCAATTTTCAAAAATGAAACTAAATTAACCAACAGAAACGTCAGTTGCACGAAGGGGGAGGATAAAACCTTGAGTTTAGAACTACAGTGGTATCTTAGGTTACATACGCTTCAGGTTACATATGCTTCAGGTTACAGACTCCACTAACCCAGAAATATTACCTCGGGTTAAGAACTTTGCTTCAGGATGAGAACAGAAATCGTGCTCCTGCGGCGCGGCAGCAGCAGGAGGCCCCATTAGCTAAAGTGGTGCTTCAGGTTAAGAACAGTTTCAGGTTAAGAACGGGCCTCCGGAACGAATTAAGTTCTTAACCCGAGGTACCACTGTATAAGAATTCAAGAGGATATTAGTAAGCATAAGGTCTGAGATCTCAACTCAAAACGAAAGGACACTGGAGCTGGAATCAAAACATTCAAGTATACCTAACAGCTCTCTATCCCAAAGGAGGCCACATGTGCATCTGTACAAACCCTTCCCAAGTGATAGTGATGAAAAGGGGGAGTTTGATAGCTCTGACATTCCCATGCTAATAACCTTCAAGGAACCTCATGTCACCGACAGTTGAAATCTCACAATAGTACTCAGGCCTCACACAGACTTTTGCCCAATCCCTCCAGAACTTACGACTCAACTGGTGCCCAGATATTTACCCTTACACAGGAGGACCATGGCCTCCATGGGGCTGTCCCTGAATAAGTCTGGCCCAACCCATAGCCACGGACATGCCTTGGACCTGGTGCTTACCTACAACTAATCCAGAATGCGGCAGCTAGACTGGTGACTGGGGGCGGCCGCCGAGACCATATAACACCGGTCTTGAAAGACCTACATTGGCTCCCAGTACGTTTCCGAGCACAATTCAAAGTGTTGGTGCTGACCTTTAAAGCCCTAAACGGCCTCAGTCCAGTATACCTGAAGGAGCGTCTCCACCCCCATCATTCTGCCCGGACGCTGAGGTCCAGCGCCGAGGGCCTTCTGGCGGTTCCCTCATTGCGAGAAGCAAAGCTACAGGGAACCAGGCAGAGGGCCTTCTCGGTAGTGGCGCCCGCCCTGTGGAATGCCCTTACAGCAGATGTCAAAGCGATAAACAACTACCTGACATTCAGAAGACATCTTAAGGCAGCCCTGTTCAGGGAAGTTTTTAACGTGTGATATTTTACTGTATTTTTGGTTTTTATGGAAGCCGCCCAGAGTGGCTGGGGAAGCCCAGCTAGATGGGCGGGGTATAAATAATAAATTATTGTTATTATTATTATTATCTCTGGCAGAACAGGACAAATGAGATCCCTGATCAGGAAGCTGGCTCTTTGCTAGCCAACAGTCCTCACTTTGCAGCACATGCCTCTCTAATTCTTCCAAAGGCACAGAAGGAATTAACAGCCCCCCAACCATCCCATGAGGGAAAGAGGGACTGACAGCTAACAGGCCAGGATAACGCCACCCGCCTAACCTGGAATGTAGCTGGATGGGCTGCATCTATCAGGGATAATAGCTTCACTGACTTTTTATCTCAACATCACACTCTTTTGATTCAGGAGACCTGGACCAGGGATGATATACCATTAAATAGATATTCCATTACAAGGGAGACTGGCATGGGGCTTGGGATCACCACCGTTGAGGGGCGAGGGAGGTATGGCGGTGAGGGCAAATATTGTAGGCGAAGGGGTTTGAGATACAAAGATGCTCGAACCTCTTCCAATCTGCACCCCATCCCAAGGGACGAAGGTAGGGCGAGCAGGGATTACCTACCTCCGTCATTGGTGCTGTGCAATGCCAGGTCTATTGGCAGCAAAACCACCACCCTGAGAGACTTTTTCCCCTCGCAGGGGGTTGACCTAGCTTGCATGACGGAGACCTGAGTTCACGAAGGTGAAATAGTTGCCTTGCATGAGATGGCTCCTCTGGGTTTCTCTGTCCTTCACCAATCGCCGACTGTGGGTCGGGGGAGAGGGGTGGCGTTGTTAATCCGGGAGGATTGCTCTTTCAGGGCTCTGCCAGCGCCATTGACCTCTGGCATTGAATGTGTTGGCCTGGTGTGGGGCACCAAGGAGAGCTAGGCTGTCTGGCTGGTGTACCGGCCACCTAGCGCACCAGCAGCCACCCTGTTAGGCCTACTGGAGGCAGTAGCCGGCTGGGCCTTGGAGTTCCCTAACCTATTGGTTTTGGGGGTTTTCAGCGCCCATGCTGATGCCGCCCCCTCCTCATGGGCTCTGGACCTGGTGTCCTCCATGGTGACACTAGGGCTCTCCCAGTTTGTTTTGGGCCCCACACACCAAGCAGACCACACACTGGATTTGATATTTGGTGCAGGTATAGATGTGATCATGTCCTCCCCTGTGGAGGTGCCATGGTCTGATCACTACGCTATGAAAGCCAGGATTGACCCCCCGCCGCTTGGATGGCGAGCCTATTTGGGTTCGTCCATGGAGGTTGATGGATCCTGATGGATTCTGTCAGATCTTGCAGGACCCTGTCCCCCTGGCGGCTCATTAGATGAATGAGATCGCACCTAGGCGCCCTCTGTGACCCCACCGAAACTGGGGCCCCCATTATTATTATTATTACACCAAAAAACAAAAATACAAATGAAAGTAGAAATAAACACAATACAGTCATACCTCTTGTTACATTCGGTTCAGGTTATGTCTTTTCAGGTTGCATCCCACGTCGACCTGGAAGTACCGGAAAGGGTTACTTCCGGGTTTCGCTGCTCGCGCATGCGCAGACGCACAAAATGACGTCACACACATGCGCAGAAGCGGCGACTGGGGCCCCCGCACACGCAGGCACGGGTTGTGTTCTGCTCATGTTGCGAACAGGGCTCCGGAACGGATCCCGTTCGCAACCAGAGGTACCACTGTATTAATTACAAAACTCTAAAGCAAAAAAAGGTCTTTGGACTATAGACCCAACCTCCCGGATATTCCCTGTTTCAATTATATGTTACTTGTTGCCAGTACACACTTTTATCATAGAGTAACTAATGCTTAATTTATCTTAGATCTCATATCTTTCTTAACACTACTACGGAACTTATTCAAATGCTGTGACAGAGTTTAAACTACTATAATTATTTTGCATATAAACTTTGAAGGCCTCCCATTTTGAAACAAATTCCTGTTTTGGTTTGCTCTTTATTTTTTCTGATAGGCTATCTAACCGCATATTCTGTCAGTTTTTGAATCCATTCATGAATAGAGGGGATTTCATCACTCTTCCATTTTGTAGCAATAAGAACTCTAGCTGCTACTGTAGCATATAAAAATATACCCTTCATTTTCTGCAGGATATCCAAATCTGTAATCCCCAGAAGATAAGCTTCTGGTTTCCTCTTAAAGGAAATCTTTAGCATTTTTTTTTTGTAATTCTGAATGTTATTTTAATGCACTAATTGCCTCAGTATCTTTGGACACTGGGCTGGAGAAATGTGGTGCAAAATTCAAGAGAAACGTGCATTTCGAAGGATCTTTGTATTTCAGTTTGTGCATTGTTTCACAAAGTGTGTACATTTGCCTTTCAGTGTGAACAGAAT